TTTAGTTCTGTTAACGTGGGCCCAATCACCTACAGGGTTTTAGGGAACTACTGTTGCATTCATCGACTCTGAGCTGGAAGACCAGAGTTCACTGAAGGAGTCAATTACCGTTGATGTAATGATGGTGCTGAGTTTCAACATGTCATCATTAGAGCTAGTGCATTCTCCATCGATGGTAGACCTATCGACGTCCCTATTCTTGCTTTCGTTACGCGCCCTTGTTTGTCTACCTGTTTTATGACCGTCTTTTTCCAAGTTAGCCGACAACTTATTCCGCAGACCTGTCAATAGGACAATGATGTTACTCAGCAAAACTACAGCATTCGTGCAGCACGTAACACATGCTCACTTATGATCCGACTTGCTGAGTCTGTTGTAAGCAGTTGCTGTGATATCTGTGCACGATTCATGGAACCAACCTTTGAAGTTGTGGCACTGCATGCCAGATGTAACAGCAAAACAGCATCCAGATCGTTTGCATGGATTTTTCATGACGTATTGACGTAAAGTGCATTATAGATGCTAGCAAGAGCTTAAGGTCGTTAAAAATACACTAAAAAGCACACTAAAACGTGAAAAATTGCTAAAAGCGGATGAGATAAACTGAACTAGCCTTTACGTGAAAAACTGAAAAACAAACCGAACGGTAAGCTGAGGCAAAAACACAGTTAACTATTAAACTGGGCAAAACGCGGAAAAAAGTAATCTGCCGAACGTATAGCTCAGAATAGATTCTTTAGATCAGAAGTAGTACTTTTGTTGCGTAAGAACACAGAAAAAGTTTGAGAAATGCGAATCACGTTAGGAATAAACTTCCCCTTCGAAGGCTACAATACATCGAGTATCGACTGATCTTGGCTGGCTAGCGATTTCACGGGATGTTGAGCACGACGTTCTCGTTCGGAATCTGGTGCGGATGCATGAACGAGCGCATACAACTAAGTGAATCCATTAAAAATAACGTGGTCAGCATCAAATGTTGAAGACTTACAGAGCTATTTATTTTGGAGACCTATTTACCGTTACAGAATCATGAACATGGTCTTCAGACCATCCCTAACTCTTCCATAACCTCGGAAGAATAATTCTTGGTGATGAAGTAAGTGCACACAAAATTTGCTCCTTAATATCATATCCTGCAGCGTTGCACGTCATTCCACTGGGCAAAACTCGGAAAAAAGTAATTTTCCTAACGTATATCTTGGAATAGATTCTTTAGATCAGAAGTGGTACTTTTGTTGCGTAAGAACACAAAAAAAGTTTGAGAAATGCAAACCACGTTAGGACCAAACTTCCCGTTCGAAAAGCGCGAGTATCGTATTGACGTCCTTGAAATTTGTAGTACTTTGGCGATCCAATCTTGCTCTAAATATATCAAAAGAAGGTGTAAATATTATGTGCTCTTGTAGAGAATCCCAGTAATCACTAGTCGATGCGAGAAACGGAACTTCAAACGCGAACGACCTAATTCTCATTTTCTGAATGTCCCTCTCAGACGATCAGTCCTAGATGGAAGGATAAGACGTTAACCCCAAAATCATTCAATATGCCGTAAGTCAGTATTGAATCACCCCATAACCTGTGGCGAGGTAACAGACATAGTTCAATGCCTTTCATTTTGTGCTCTAGAATTGGTCAGAGAGGCCTTTAACTATTTTCATCTCTCGCTGTTGAACTCGTTCTAGCACATCCGCAACATACTTGCTGCTTGAATCCCATATTCTTTATGACAACTCTTAGATCCTAACAGGTAAAACAATACATTTTGTGTTTTAATGTGAGTTGTACGAAAAATGGAGCGTGGTTCATCAGATTAAGCGGTGATCATTTAAAAGTTGTTATATAAATCATGAAAACTGGAACTGATTTTGAGCAAACCGTTAAGTATGCCGAAGAAAACTTTGAAAAGACAATTACTGTTCACTGTGTCAAAAATTTAGGAAGTAAAGTCACGGAACATAAGCTATTTTAGATCTAGTTTGCTAGTTTGTTGGAGTTTCAACTATGTATTTTCAGTCCTACATATTAGTGAGAAAGTGTGTGAATGCTATCATAGGGATGCCGATCAAGTGATGAGAATAACATTCAGTACATAAGAGCAGGTGAAAATATATGGACGTTTATCTAAAGTGATTTCATTAGAAGAAAAACGAAAGCATTAAATTATATTCAGTAAGTACATACATATCTACTATATTGGGTGTTGTGACTTGTTTAACGGTACCTTTGTTGTATGCTTGATAGGGAGCTAAGTGATCGCGTAGGTCGGTGCAGTGTACCATATAGGGTGCTCTTGTATTGCTGAAATTATATCAGGTATATTCAAGTTGTTGCTCGGATATTATAAAATAAATTCGATTTAGTAACTGAGAAATTAAACTCCGAGTACTCCGTAAAGATGGCATTTATTACACATGTTCACCCACCAATTACTGTGACTCGCCATGATGATCGGTGTGTGTTGTAAAAAGGCTGGAGGCACACCGATATATTTCGGAGCCAGAGTTTTAGGTTCTTCACGAAATGAAAAACAAATGTGTTCTGTACTGCCTTAGACCTTCACTTATTACATGTGATCTGGATACCAATACGCACGTATTTCTTACCACAGTTAGCCTTATAAATCCAAACAGGATCAATAATAAATATATTTTTGTTGGATCTTAATGAGTAGATATATTGCATTCCTGACTTCATGTAAACCGCTTCTTTAGTGTAAACAAATAACCAGATTAAAACAACACTAGTTTAAATAGTACAAGGAAACAAAACAGAATACTTCCAGTACAACCAAAATCGTAATGGGCCTGAATATGTCACGAAAAACGACGTGGCTTCACTTAGTTGTTGACTGAGATATTTGGTGAAGTAAGATGTATTTTACACGTGTATGGATGAAATGTGAGAATAACCCACAACAACGATAACGAGGAAATGCATTCATCAGGGTTTACCCTCTGGATAAATCCCCGAACTTGCACATCCTAGTCTGGAGCATAACTCGGATCGTAATGAAAATGTTCTACAAAAGTTGCGAGGAATAGACTGGGTTATTCTGATATACGAAGCGCAGGGTTATACGTCTTCTGAAGATGAGCAAGTGCACCATTAGGTAGAAAGTGCGAACACAGAACCCTCCAGACGTGCTGCTGAGGAGTCATATACTAGGATGAAACGGCCGTTCAGTGCTTCCAGGTTGGTCAACTGATAAATGAATTCAATTAAATTACTACAATCTTCACAAAACGCCTGTCTCATCAGTTGGTTAGGAGTATGTGAAAATCTTATTTTCTTGTAATTTTACCGCTCTGGAAGACAGGAACAATTTAGATATAAACTCCTAATACATTTACAAGTAATTTCAATATTTTAGTCAGAAGAGATACACTTTACTTATTGTATTATCGTGTATTGACACTAATTTGATAAAGTGGGTATATTTTTAAGTCAAAGTCATTTAGGAACATGAAAATTAGATTTGAGTCTGCCCGAGCAAATGCTACACTGATTTATTACAAGCACTGACACATGTTAACAGGTCTACCAGCCTTTTCCTTAAAACTATGTTGAATCAGTAAAAGATGAATTTCCAAACGCGATACCCGTTGTTAGTACTGTAACCAATCTTACAAACAATTGTCCTCATCTAAGACTTCATCACTACTCTAAGGATCAGGTCAAAAGACAAAATTGTCTCAACCTATTCATAGGGAATTTCATTACTCAAAGTGATGCAGGTCAGCCTTAACTTGTCAGGAAATTTTCAAAAAATGTTCGTGTAAACGACGGACTTAAGTTGATATTTATCAAGAAATCATCATTATGATAGTATTGTCATTTCACTGTTTCACGCAGTAATTTGTTACAAAAAGGTTTAAATAAGTATTTCTGTGATAAAAAAACTAGGCTTTACATATCCACATTGACTTCACTGCTTATTTCTAACGATTTTAGTAAATAACGCATAAAATCCACGCACACATCCGAGAGTGACATATCTAACAATACTGTTCGCCTTTTTTGTCAATATACATAAATTTTGAAGGCGGAATTCCTACGCAGTATTACACACGTAGAAGTGTAGAGCTATTAAGTTCTAAGTATATATTAATGATTAGAAAATTCCATGTTATTTTCAACCTGCTTTAAATACACTGACAATAGATAATAATGAACATCATAACTATTTTAAACTATGTTCATGTTACAAATCACCAAAACATTCTGTTTAATAACAATTAAACAGAATTAAAAAAAGAGACAATACTCTGAACACTTGAGAAATTCATTATTTTAAATACCTAGAGAAGCAATATATCTATGTATATCTATGCATACATGTGTATGCATAATTAGTTTTGTTGGAAAAGTAAACGGAAGAGAAATGCATCAGATACAAAGTGTTCTTAGACAGCAATGTATGGTTTTAACGTATAACAACTAAGAGAAATCCGTAAACACAAACACACACATACAAACGTGTGTATATATAAGAGGAGGAAAACGTGGAATAAGTCAGGAAAATTGAGATAGGGAAAGAATTGAAAATAATTTGTTGAAAACGCTGGGGTTGTGTTTGAGTTTTTTCAAAAAAAATTTCTAAATAGTTTAATCGATAGCTGAGAAAAGAGGACAATATACGATATGAACAGGGCATACTTTTTCATTAGTTATAATTCAGAAACGTACACATGAGGAGGAATATAAACGCATTATTATCATACATATCTCCATATTTTGGACTGAGTTAAGCACACAATAAATACACATTAAAATCGCTTGAAACACCATATATTAAACAAGTAAATTTTAAAAGCAATATTTGTCAAGTTTTAGATGCATAGAGTAGAGAAAAGCATAATAGGAAAAGCGAATAATAATAATAATGAAATGCCCAGAAAGCAAACAGAAGATTGGGTAACGCACCGAGTTGAAGTAGAAATAATTTGTAAAGGCGATTATCAAATAAAAACACACGCAACTTATATATATATATATATATATATATATATATATATATATACTGATTACCATACTATAGATACACAAAAACCTGGAGGAGAAAGTAAAATCATTATTTACTGAGATCTAAAACAGCTTGACTCTCTTCATACTCTTTAGTACTATCATATTTATCCTGAGATTGATCTGCACGTCTACAAGATACAGTTTGTCTGGTCTCTCCGGAATCCTGAGTTTCTCGCTCTGAACAAACAGAGCTACCTATTTCAGAAGTAGGGGTAGGAGATGTTGGGAGTGGATGAATTCTATTATCTGGTTGAGTGCATGATTGTTGTTGAGAGTTTGAATGCTTAACAGGAGTAGACGTTGTTCCGATTCCAAGTGAAGAATTTGCCGCTCCACTAAACATTGACAAAAGAGCTGTAGTATCTATTTCTCCGGAATTTCCATAAGCAGACATTAAAGTTGAAGCTAAAGATGCGAGGAGTTGTTGAGAATCCCAATGATTAGTTGTTTGGGTCGCCTGTCTTTGTTGCATCTGTTTAGCTGACAACAAGTAGTTGGCATACAAAGAAGCCAGAGTGGCTTGTTGTGAAGCAAAAGCGGTAGATGTCAAATTAACATTAGATGATCCGATATCAGGTGGAATGACTGACCCAGAACATGCTAACATAAGTTGACTATATAGAGCTGCTGCAGTTACAGGATTGCACATATAAGCTAGATTCATTGCAGCAGCCTGCTGATATACGGCATTTAACATTGAATCCATCCGTTGGTTACCAGCGTTTAATTGGAATGGATCTTGTATTGTTGGAGTACTACCGGAATTCCTCTCGGGAACAAATGGATATGCTTGACAATTAAGGGGGGAAGCTGTCACTTCGACAGGATCACGTCGGCGACTAGAACTCTCCGAACGACTTCCTGTTGTAACGATGAAAAATAAATTAAAAAAGCTATGAATCATAAAGAATATGAAATAGAAGAGACAATTTTTGCATGAAGAAATAAGATTTAAAATAATTACACAATATAGGTTATATTTCAAAAAACAGCACAAATATAAGTGAAGGAAACAAAATCAATTTAAGTCATCTATTTCATTGATGGATATAAACTAATACTATTTTATTATCTGAAATAAAACTTAGATGTTATGTCATATTTACCAGAATAGCGGCTGAATTCACTTGAATAACACACCTGAGGTCTATTTCAGTCAAAGACTGTCTTGGTTACTCGGAAACATCTATATATGAATATAAATCGATAATATATGTGGTTATACAATATATCATGATTAGTTAGATTTAAGCTTATATTCAAGGTAGATAATACGACAGCATTAGTCAATCACAAAGCAATTAAACGTAAAATAAATGAAAGGTTCAAAATGGCTGTCCAAACAAAATTCAGTCCAACCATAACCAGCTTATCGATAATTAGTTTAACCAATGAGATACAAGAAAAAGGGATTAACACTGATTACTAATAAGTAATATAGACTTAATTGTTTTACATACTGTAATCAACGATTAATCTGTGATACTTTTTATGAATTCGTAACTGATTTATGTTGAGAAGAGATTTGACTGAGGACTCAACATGACATACTGTAAATACTTTATTTATATGATAGCGGAGAAAGTTGAAGTAAAATTGCAATTTCACTGCTAGCCATATTATATTTTGAGATCAAACTGATGAAAAGTTAAAATGGTTTATTACAGATCACTTATATTTGAATTTATTTGCATTCATCTATTTATTCTTATCTTAATATAGAATCAATACATAACTCAATGAAGTATTAGTACAGGCAAAGCTCGAAAAACCCATCATCATAGTTATAAAACGATATAAACCACGGACTGTCGATTACTGTTTAATGGCTTTGTAATCAACATAATTATTTTACTAAGAACGTTGCCACTAGCATTAATTATTCTCTTTAAAGATCCATTTACAAAAATGATTATTTAGACGTTTACTAAAATACCATGCATAAGCCTCCTCCTCATGTATTGTTAACCTTATTTTATTTATTTATTTTAACACATAGATATTGGTACAAGGAGGCACCAAATACATATGCGCCACACAAATCTCAATTGATTTGTGTGAGGGCTGTGATACTGCCCGGGTGCCCAAACCGAAGCAGGTGGTTTTCTTAGGGGACCACACCCCGAGCCTTCGACCTGAAGATCTGATCCACAAGGCAGTGGAGCATCGCAAGGAGATGCAGTCCCATGGTAGCCGGTGACCAACAATTGGTTCATACGCCATTTGTTCCTTCAGGATACTGGAGCCAGTCCATGTGCACCATTGATTTGGGATGCGGTTAAAGCACCGGACATTCGCTTTTCGTCCTCTCATTTTCGTAAACAACACCTCCGCCACGAGAAGGCAGTGAGTAGGACTTCCCTGGCAGCGGCTATATACGCGTGGCCATGTTAGAGCATTGTTAACCTATAAACTCCTGGTAAATGATAAATCTAATTTAATCGGAATACTATGCTATTTTTAATTATTTGATTATTTAAGAATTCTCTTGTACAATCTAATTTAACCGGAATACTATGCTATTTTTAATTATTTGATTATTTAAGAGTTCTCTTGTACAATCTTATAAAGCTAAACCATTTAACAGGATACTTTACAAAATGACACGTAGTAGGCAAGGTTTACAAGTTTAGGAATTTGAAACTAATAACTATATTGATGGACGATTAAAACTCATCCAAATAGGTATCACCAGTGAAGAAAAGGCTAAAAAGACCGGAATACAGACACGATAACAATTTGATAAAATATTCTTACCAGTGGAACGGGATTTTGAAGAACGAGATGTTGACGGTACACAGCTCGTGGAGACGGGAACTCGTGATTTAGAAGTGGTAGTATCAGAGACAGCTCCAGTACCAGAGGTAGCAGTGGATGATGATGGTATGGAGGAAATGGACTGCCAATTACTCAAAGCAGAAGCGATCAAATTAGCGTATGCTGGATGACGAGCATAGGCACCAAATGTATTTAATAACTGTTGTTGTTGTAAATATTGTTGTGTATTGAAATTATTAACCTGCGAGGCAACAACAGATGATGGAGAATTGGACGTTGTTACATTGTTATTGCCTACACCACTGCTGGTTGCTGCACTAGCCAGTAAACTATTTAGATAATGTTTATAGGCTAATGCCTCCATATTACTTGTATCTTGACCCCTAGCACTTGCAACACGACTATAGATTGCACGATCCTCCTGAAATATTCAAAAATATAAGCAGTGAGAAATAGACACTACATTACTTAGAAAATTTAGGACATAAATTAGCGTAAGCTAATTGGTTTGTGTAGGAATACAGAACAGACACATAAAACCAGTTACTGTACACCTAATTTATACTGAAAAACAGGATTAAAGATGTAGAGATGAATGATTACCACTTCTAGTTAAAAGACTTTCGTAAATCAATACACTACAAAGAATGATAAGAAACCAGGAATTAAAGAATTATTTCTTTAAAAGCTTAGTTTAAAATTCCGTGACAGTGAGTGATCGAAATCAGTAGCAGTTAAGTCTTGAACAGTGTGTTATTTTGTATGCCAAATTGATTGGATTTTTTTCCAATCCCTTTTATTGTTAGTGGCAAACCACTTATTTTCAGCATAATTTTTACTTCTTCACATTTTGATCTTGATGTGCTAAATGCACAACATAAGAACTTTTAAGGTTCACACTAACACATGGGTTTCAGATAAAAAAACCTTAATCAGTTATAAGTGAAAAAAGTGTATATGTTCAAGTTGTCGTAGACAGAAACAATCTTTTATTTATTTATTTTATTTGAACACATAAATATTGGTACAAGGGGGCACCAAATACATATGCGCCGCACAAAACAATGAGAATTTAAAGAGTAGGAAAAAAAAGAAAGGAGGGTAAGGAGCGTAAAAAAAGAACAATAACGACCAGATTAGTGTAATAGTAGTAATAATGGGGGAAACGATAAGGTACAATCAGAAGAAATCTTTCAGTTAAAGAAGTAACCACTTTTTACAAAGAAAGTAAAAGAAGGTTACAGCAGGATCACCACTGGCTTCTATTTTGAGCCATATCTGATAACGTCTCTAGCCACTGTGTTGCACCATCTTTCGGACCCCAACCAGGAATTCGTGAAGGACCAACACAAACCAGCCCTTTGCAGCTTTCTTTCATACCACGACACCACGTCATAAACTGACCATCTCTCCGCTTTTTCCAACCAGTCCCAGAGTCGGTAAATAATGCACGACGTGGCATTCTCTGGGACGACATTCGTAGAACATGTCCAAGTCACCGAAGTCGGTGTTTCAAGATGGTGACACCAATTGCATTATCGTCTCTGTGCCCGAACACACGATGCCGGACCTCTGCATTACTAACATGGTGTTGCCACTGGATGTCAGCAATCCTTCGGAGACAACGATGATCGAACACAGAGAGTCGTCTAACATCCTCAACTCGGAGAGGCCAGGTTTCACAAGCATAGAGCAAAACTGCTCTCACCGACGCGTTGTAGATCCGACCTTTTACAGCCAGACTAACATCACGAAGGCGCCAAAGATGGCCCAGATTGGCATAAGCCGCTCTGGCTTTCACTATACGTGCATTGATCTCATCACTCACGCCACCACCAGCACTTATGCAGCTAACCAGATACACGAACTTTTCGACGAGTTCTATCTGCTCGCCATCTAGAGTGAGTACAGGATTAGAATCCTGCCAGTCATGTAGAAGTACTTTGCACTTCGAAGGTGCGAAGCACATACCATACCTACAGACACTGAAGTGAATATCACATCTTAAAATATAACTATATTCAGTATAAAAGATAGTGAAATTTTCCCTCATATTTTAGAAGAATCTCCAAAGCGGAAAAATACTGTTAAGAGTATCCTCTTATGCATTAAGAATAGTTAAGACTTTTCAGTACCCCTCTCATTTAATAGCAATTACTTGATTATGATTTAATAAGATTGTTAGATGATGTAGTACAAAGTTCAAATACAAAATTATTACTCATCCTCATCTTAATAAATGAAACATGTAAAAATCTAAAAAATAGATCATATCAGTGAGTAAAGTTCAAGATAAAGAAAACAATTTTACTCTTCACTAAACACAGTAAATACCAATTATGAATGAAAGATTTTCTTACTTTATTACGAGAAATAATACAACAATTGACTTATAAATAAAGAATGGTTTAAAAAATTTTTTCTAAACAGAACCACTTACCACCTCTACTGAATATGGCATATAATTGGGATTTGCATCCAACCAAGATTCTAGTGATCTTCGTTCAGGAGCTTTATCACCATAAATTAAAGAACCATCAACTAAACTAATTACTGGGACACGCACATCCCAAATGTCAGAATTAACATTCTGAGAAGCTTTCTGTAAATCATTATTGTTCGACTCAACTTTAGATGAACTGAGACGTTCACGTTTAGAACTGTAAGAAACTTTTGCAAATGTTGAATTTGAATCCGATGGAAGTTTAGAAGTATCACTTTTTCGTTTACGTCCACGATTATTCGTTCCAGAAATAGAGCGTGGTGCAGATGTCATACTGGGTGGTGGCATTGAAAAGTCATTATCATCAGACACTGGATTACTGGCAGATATCGATAACGATTTGGAACTTTGTGAAAAGTGTTCTGAATTCGAAGTTGTAGATTTTAAAGTTGTATCATGAAATGATAAAGTTTCTTGATCAGAATCAGAATTGGTTTGACATTTATCACGACTAGTAAATAAATTTTTGCCAAGTGAATTAGATCGATTACTTCGATTGCGAATTCGACCACGGTTTCGATCAACTAAAGTATTCTCGTTCGTGGGATTAGAAATAAAGGGTAACTGATTGTCATTTAGATTTAATGGAATGTTGGCAGACGTAGAAATACTCTCATCAGAATCCGTCGGTATGGCGGTTGCAGACTGTGTTTCAGTAGAATAGGATTGTAACGACGCTGACTTACAGTGTGATGAATTAATATGTCTCTCACTCATAGAGAAATCGAATTGTGGTGAATCGTCAAACTCATTATTCGTAACCACAGATGATATATCTGTTAAATTGGATAACTTCAGGTCACATGTTGGATCAAGTGAATTAGAGGTCATTTCAGGAGAAAAAACGGGTAGACCATACTGTTTTCGAGGTAATGAAACGTGAGAGGCATTCATTGGAATTCTTCTAGAATTACTAGATGACAAGGGATAACTGTCACGGGATAATGACGATGAACTTCGATAATTTTGAGGGAATGAAGTATTCAAACTTGTAACTTTTGACTCAACATGTGAGCGAGTAGAATTTACCATAGATGATGATACTGAAATTGCAGTGGTAATCGGTGTAATAAAACGACGAGGATTCGGCCATTCGTTAGTCTAAAAACAACACATTAAGCATTCTGGTGAAGTTTTTTAGTTAAGATATTACAAGAAATGACACATTCCTGAATAAAAATATTCATTCAGATAATCATTCTGTAATTTAAATGAAGAATATTTAATAACTGACTTCTAATTAAATTAGTCAACTAACATTAGAGACAACAATAATTTAGACAAATCTAAAGTTATGAATTCTGATACAATTTCGCATTTTTATTATTAACAGATGATTACTTTTAAGTCATTTGGGTTATAGTATCCAGTTCTTTATGGACAAGGAACTACTAAGATAGCTACAGTTACATTGTATTGTGCGTGCAATTTTGGTCTTCGCCCGAATTCTGACATTCTAAATTCCTCATAACATTTTTTATTGTTATTTCACTCATTTATATTTTCTCAAATCGTATCTTCCATGTCTAAGCTTCTCAACTACCACTCATACTATTACTATTCTGAGATTGAGCCTGACAATTTCGTCTCTCTTAGGTAGTGGTGTAAGGCAACCTGGACCAATCCACATACGTACTAGGTTCTACTGTGTGTCTAAATGACTGGATTAAGCAACTTCAAAACTCCAGATCTACCGAAAGTCCACTCTAAGCAAGTTGTTTAAATCGACTAGACACGATTTCATAAGTATCCACAAAAGTGTAACACATAATCTGCAACATTTCGACAATTGTTGAAAGAATCGATATCTTTATGTTTCGCGGTAAGTTGAAAACTTCAAGTACCTGACCAAGATAGAAAAAACTTTGTTTCATAAAAACAAAGTTTAACAAGATTTTATGTTTTTATTAGTAAAAAAACTGTTAAAGACGAATAAGGAACTGAGTGTGACAGCCCTCTAGTCATGTAAATTAAGGGTGGATAGGTAAGTAAGAACGCGTAGTTGTTGGGAATGCTATACCAAAAGAGCAGGTACAATATCAAGAATTTCTACAAAACAATCGAATATAACAGTATCTTACTTCAACAGTTTGACAAATGAGTTCCAAGCGATGTTGAATAGTCCTATCTTTAGGCCATGAGATCGCCAGATTAGTAGCGAATTTGATAGACCATTCAGCAACGGTCGAGTCGGATCCCACTTTAATGATATCAGCGCTGTTCGCACTATCAACTAAGGAAGTAAAATGTGAAAGAATGTAAAATTCTTAAAATAAATCAAACATATTGAAAATATTTCAAAGATAAAAATGAGAATCCGGAAGTTTACATAAAAAATTTTGTTGATCACGTAACAAACTGTTCATTTCTCTAAATAGACATAGTAATTATGATTTGTTTTGTAATAATTAATAATAAAGAATTATTATTTTGATATACAGTAACCACTGCAGTGATGATTACAAAGAGAAATTTGTTGATGGCTATATTCCACATCAGGAGTAATTAGCTTAGTTTTGAGAAATTGATTAACCTAATAACAGTCGAATTACAATGACATCTTATTAGGGTTTAATAATTAATAATAATAATAAACAATTACCTTTGAAAATATTTCGGGTATAAGATTACTTAATTAATTAAAGTTTAATTAACACTTAATATAATCTAGATAGAGTAGGCTAAATTCTTTTAAATAAGGTGGAACACTGAGGGTGCATGCTTTACACACCTTGTATTACAAAATCAATGTGTAAATATAGAGAAATGCAATATACTAGGTGTTCAGTGAAGTATTTTTCTTTACAAATGACTGCAAAGAAGATGAAATTAATAAACAAGCAGCTAAACACAAATTTATAAAACAAACAAACTTAAATACCTGATAGATCTTCCTTGATAGTGACTTTGACATTATTTTTCTCGTTGGCATTATGATTTGTATCTGATGACAGATCATTCTCAGTGATATTCACACCAGATGGTGTTGCAACATCATGTGCGACAATGATTTCAGAAGTTATAGAATCTACTTCATTGTCATCTTTAATAGTGGCAGGATCTTGACAATTTGTAGAAATCATTGGAGAATAATTTTCTAACTGATTGTATTCTAATTTATCTGTTACATCACCTTTTTCTACATTTAGTTCGGATGACGGTAATTCAGAGAGATCAGGACTTTCTTGTTCTTCTCCTTTTTCTTCTTTCAATAGCTGAGCTGCAGCTGAACGAGCTGCTGACGCAGCAGCTGCAGCTATACTTGATCTACTTGATTGATTAGCATTCAAATCACCAGGATAATCTGTAACAGCTGGATCATGAGCTAGATTATCACGAATTAACTGAACTATTCGTGCAAAACTCGAGTTCGAATCTTGAAGAATGTTTAGATCAGTACGAGCTAATCCATGCCTATCACCAAAAATAAATAAAACTTTTCAATATTGTCCCAAAATGCAAACACTAGAAAGTAATTTTTTCATAACGATAATTCTCTTCTCTCTGGATAAACTTACATATCACTCGATAACTGAAGAAAAAGTTAGACCTAGTTAATACCTGAACTGTGTAATCAAATCAATCATTGAATTGCATCCAACTAAGTTTATGTTTATTGCTCAACTTCAATAATTATCTTCACATAAAAGCAAGGAGTTCATACAAAAAAAAACATTTTCTAAACTGGTTTAATTACCGATGATATATTCACTAATAATAATTTGATAACAAACAGAGAAAATGAAACATAAATTGACATATTACTAGAATACATTAAAGTCTGAAGAGCGTTTACAACTTTACGGCAAAATCCAGTCTTATTATATACGAAGTGTATCTTTAATGAATTGGTACCAATGGGTATAAAAGATTATTCTTTAAGAGGTGAAATAGACAAAATGAAAGTGTAATACAGTCCTGAAGTACAGTCACATAAAATCTCGTGTCATTACCTTAAAGTTAACAAAAAAATTTTCATAGCTTAACGAGTATTCACCCTGATAAACTCACTTGAATTATTGAATTCAATTAAAGTTATGAATTATAAGAAATAATTTTTTAGACAAAATACATGAATTTAAACCACGAAGGAAGTAATGTTTGGCTTAGGAATAGAGTACTGAGTAAATATGGGAAATCGATTGATGGAGTAGTAAATCTTCGTCAACTGAGAAGCCTGAGATATGTGTTAAGTATGCCCAACCACGCCTGGATAAACGGACAATGTTTTCTGTTGTAAGAAAAATAGGGGCGGGCAAATAAAAACATGGCATCAGTCCACGAAGTCACCGACAATTGGACTCAGCCATGTTAATAGGTATAAACTAGCTGGTTGGGGTGATTATCATGACCAATGGTTAGATTTTTGCATGACATGGCTCAAAATCGTTTGCAATGGCGCAGGTGCATCTATTCTTTGGCTCCGCCCAAATTCTGACATTCTAAATTCCTCATAACATTTTTTATTGTTATTTCACTCATTTATATTTTCTCAAATCGTATCTTCCATGTCTAAGCTTCTCAACTACCACTCATACTATTACTATTCTGAGATTGAGCCTGACAATTTCGTCTCTCTTAGGTAGTGGTGTAAGGCAACCTGAACCAATGCACATACGTACTAGGTTCTATTTTGTTACTGACTGGCAGAATTCAGACTATTAAATGTATTTGAGAAAGAATAACATCTACCTCCTTTTTTACTAACAGTTTTAAACTTACTTTGCTGCAGCAAACAACAACTCTTTGTCGTGCTTTCCAGGTATCCACCAACCTGGGAGATCAGAACTAGACTGACATAATTTAAGTCTTTTCTCCAAATCAGGATGTTGTAGAATATTATTCCGAATACGTACTAACAAATCTATACGTGACAAACAACGACTAGCACGTTCTTCGGAAATAGGATCAATCACAAGTTCACAGCCTAAATCGCTTGATCCCGATGTTGTAGTAGTAGCGATAGTGGAAGCAGGTTCTGCAAATACTGTGAAAATTGATAGTTACAATTATTTTAATAAAATATAACTCAAGGTATTTAAATGAAGTAATAGAACAAAACTGAAGGAGCTAACAAATAAAGTATAATTATGGGGAAAAACAGTCAACCTCTAAACGGAAAACTTACTCAGGCACAAATACTCTATTTGAGTAGATGAGAGGATTCTGAAAACATTATTTATATATATAGCAATATTGAAAAATGTTAATTCCTGGTAGACACCTAACGTTAAGATACACTCTGAGATTGTAATACACCAAAATTAGCGAACAAAATATTTATGGCCAATATCAAGGCTTGACATTTGAATAATGGTTAACTAGGTTGTGAGGAATGACGCAACATTTGAAGTGAAAGCTAAGTAATATTCAATATGTGAATAATGAAACTATAAAGCACAGTTTAATCTGCATTTACAGGGAAATAAAAAAGAAACGTTAAGTACCGGAAAATATTCACTTTTTGTGGATAGAATAAAATAAACGTACCAGTAAGTTCCTTTTTGCAGACACGTTGACACATTCGATAAAAAGCTTGAAAGTATTCAACTAGCGCTTGATCAGATTTCCGACCTAGATTACCAAGTTGTCGGAAATTAATCCAACTATATATTCTTGGAATTGGTGGTTTTGATGACGGCCTTGACTCTTCATCGATAACATCAGTAGCGTTTGATTTCGACACTTCATCAGTATCTGTTGTTGGGGAAATTTCAGTAAATTCCACACCAAAGCTTGATACTACACGATAGAAGTCAGCTTCTTCTCTACGCGTCCATTTTCTAAATCACAGCGAAAAAATTTAGCGAAATGACACATAAACTAAACGAGATTTAGCAGTAGACTTACATATCTAAGCTTGGCATAAGGCTTTAAAATGCTTAAATGTGCGGTAGACACTGGTAAGTTTACGTACTTATCAAAGGTGACATTAATCTAGTCTCAAATGTTTAATGGTTTATGTTAACCAACGATAGGAACTGATTTTATTTGTATTTGTTTCACCATGTATTATCAAGGGGAACACTTTTATGTGGTATATCTGTTTGACAGACGTAGGTCAATAGTTTAAGCGCTAAACTCATTATCATTAGGAGAACAGTTTAAACCATAAGTCGTTTACAAAGTTTAAGCAACAAGGCAATGCTAAAATCTTCCATATCTCTAAATGGTTATACGAAAAGTGTAATGCTCTACAACTTTTATTTATATTACTTTATGTATGTGCAAAATATATACTGAAGGAAAAGGATATGAGCAAGTCTTTGAATAATTGATAGCATAATATACCGTTCACAGAAAAACATAGTGCTAAAAACAGCTTAGATATATAGTTTTATGATAAGGCTTTACATAACATCGCAGTCCACGAGATAGTGATCTGCAAAATAACCAAAATCATTGTGTGCAAACTTTAAGTGATACCGCTTATAATCAACTACATACACACTTATTGCTTATCAAATCCTTGACTTGTTGTTTCTAACTCGGTTCTGTTTTCCAGTTATTCACTACAGTTAGCGTTCTTAATTTTGCTCTTTTTATGTAGTAATGTGAAATATGACAACTAACAATGATACACATTAGTGTCAAGTTATATTGTGTAATCAACTCTCCGTAATTTATAATCTACTGTGACAAACTGCACACGTCTGTTTGCTTGGCAGATATAAAACAGAACAAAACGTAGCTTATACAAATTTAGGGGTTTTGCTTCACGCCACACTGTGGAATTTCTAAATAGAAAAACTTTTTTCTACTTGGTTAATTATAACTGTGGTTACTAAGATATTTTCTTCAAGTGAATTAAATACTTTACATTACACGGATATACTTCTTAGCTGTATTCTTTTGAATTAGTATCTCAAATATTTGAAATCGACTTATTTATCCTAAAAAGGAATGACTGAATGAATGAGTTTCTGATATCAGAGGGAAGATTTATATGGATTGGAGTTTGAAACAATGTTTTTCAGCACTTATCTTTAGACAATATATCGAAAATAATTTATTTTATTTATTTATTTTAACACATAAGTATAGGTACAGGGAGGCACCAAATACTTATGCGCCACACAAATCTCAATTGATTTGTGTGAGGGCTGTGATACTGCCCGGGTGCCCAAACCGAAGCAGGTGGTTTTCTTAGGGGGCCACACCCCGAGCCTTCGACCTGAAGATCTGATCCACAAGGCAGTGGAGCATCGCAAGGAGATGCAGTCCCATGGTAGCCGGTGACCAACGATTGGTTCATACGCCATTTGTTCCCGCAGGATACTGGAGCCCATGTGCACCATTGGTTTGGGGTCCGGTTAAAGCGCCAGATATTCGCTTTTCGTCCTTTCATTTTTGTAAACAACACCCCCGCCACGAGAAGGCAGTGAGTAGGACTTCCCTGGTAGAGGCTATATACGCATGGTCATGTGAGAGCATTTCGAGAGGGAGAGCGGACTCTCCCCACTCTCGGCCGTACCAGGGCATAAACCGAAGTCACGAGTATTATTCGAAGATAGCAAAGATGAATTCAGAGGGGAAAAATTATAACACCACATGGTGTTTACCAATCTGAGAAATCAATTAATGAATTCAAGATATCTCAATAATAAAAACTAAATCTGTAAATTTAAATAGCTTTGTAAACGTAAATACAACACATCATAAATCCAAATCTGGATATTAGGTTCGATTTTCAAGTTAAATTAATTGGTAAAAACAATCATCCAAGAAAAATCAAACAATGTTTCCATCTAAACTTTATAACAAAAGAAACCTCAGTTGTTTCTGAGCTTGTAAGAAATTATTATTAAAAATAAATTAAAATAATATAAAATAAAACTTCAGTCAGAATTGCAGATACACCTATTTTATATAAGTGGCAACTATCAAAATAACTTAGATCTATATTTCCCTATCTACCATTGTTAGCAACTTAAACTTGAGTTTATGTAAAGAAATGTTTAAATAGAAACTATGGGTTGTTCTATTTGAAAGTATTAATCGTAAGATCGAATTATTTGCTCAGTCAATACCCACAAAAAATCAAAGTTAAAATAAAAGAAAGAAAACAAAATAATTAACTTACAAAATTTTTGGTTCTGAAAGTTTTACAACAGGTGAGCATGTTGCAGACTCTTCAACTTCAACTTTAGGCATATGCTGTAATAAGACAAATAATACATTAAATGAATCACTAAAGAAAGATTACTTCGTAATATACTGCTGATAATTAATATTGTTCACAAAGTTTTACTAACAGTAATAGCGTATAAGATAAAAGGTATAAAAAAGCCTAATGATTAGGAGACTTTTAATTAGTTATCTGGATAATCTAATTGGATTTCGATTTTATTATCATAAAAGGTGACCTATGTATTGTTCAATGATACCCAATGGATGATGGTCGCTTTGATTATCTAGAAAGAAGCATTATGAAGTCATTTTCTGAGAGATGTGATTATCCACATGATTCAAAATTTTAGTAAAAATTACAAATAAATAATTATTTAATGGAGAAGTATAGAGATCTGTATGATTAGCATCGATTGAGTAGTTATTATTACTACGTGGGAATCTAGTCGACATAGTATGAATAAATAGTTTCAAGCATTATCAAAAAGCGGTTTAGAACAGAAATTCATGGTAAGCCTACAGCTGTTTCTTAACTTATTCGATGTGCTGTTTCATAATACATCCCCAATAAATAGCATAATTGATTGTCAGTCAAACTGATGAAATCTATTGTAATCATGGTATTATAGTTCTGTTTATTTTTTTTTTAAAATACAACTTAATCATTTTGGCAATAGCTTTCTCACATATACTTCTTCGCAATTATATCATTTCATTTTTCCTATGTGATGAATGGTTATATAAACAGTTGTAGTGTCATAATGAAATGAATAAATGAACAATATATTTAATTGGACATACTTATTCACGACAATCAACTAGGATCTGGATCAATAAAAAATCCAATTTATCAGAATGAGTAAAACAAATACGCTGATTTTTATTAAGAAAAAAAGAGGTGAATACATTAAAATCAATAAGCCGAAATAAAATAAAACCTGAAAATGTTTTTTAATGACATTCATATAATTTAAAGTAGAATAAAATTTAACTTTTCTAGAAAAGTTATGACTATCAGTTGTGGTTTCAGAAATTAATTAAGTTGACACTGAAACAAAATCGTTTATTGTCACAATGTTGAAATTTATTTAAAATTAAGTTATTGAACTAACTCGAGATGAATCAGATTCTAGTTGACTTTTGATGCGTTGGAAAAAACCAACAAGTTTTCTAGCTCGAGAGTTTAAATCTGCAAGTTGAGGAAATGGAAGAGCAGCAAGTAGAATATCATCTGAAATATTGTTTTCATTATTCGAGGTATCCGTCAGTGGAACAGATGATATATCTTTTTCAACTGGCTTATAAATATTGTCTTCTTTTAGGTTGTGTAATTTATTATCATCCACCTCTGAAACTTTTACATCATCTATAGCTGTTCCAACATTCTCTGAAGTTGTTTCAGAAACAACTAAGGTGAGAGGATCAGAGTGTGAAAGAACATTTTCTTCTGGTTTACATTCAGTTGTATCATCAGTTTTAATTAAATCCACTTCAGTCTCGTAGTCACCGTTTGGACTTTTTGCAACCATCCCCGATTCACCAAAATTACTAGAAATGACAGAAATAAGAAAAGTAGATAAGCACAACCAGTTTTTAGCTGAATAGTAATAATAAATGATCGAATATCATTTGGCATAGTAATAATAACATGGAAAACACATACACGCAAGAACAGAGAAAATCCATAAAATCACTTGTCTGTATATATCAGAAAGATTAATACGTAGTCTATATAAGAGATTATGGATACCATACAATCCTAATACAATTCAGATAATACATCCCAAAGGTATTTATGTTCAGTTATATTTACCACAATAGCATGTAATTTGGTTTAGTGGTTTTAAAATCTTTTCATGATCGCGACAGTTCGATAAATACTATGAATTAGAATGGTGGGTTCCACTATCGATTTTCCGGAACGATGTACTATTGCTATAGGACTAAAAAAAGTACTAAAATGTATTTTTCTTTTTATTTCAAACTAGAAGCATCACTATATACGGGCAACAGTAAGCTACTATTAAACTTTATGAACCTTTATTAACTAAATACAGCCAATAGTTAGATTTTTAAGTGTCTTTCAGGACTATCATGGACGTACATTCAGACGATATTCAAAATATTGACCAAGGTATTTCACAGAAAACGTATAACCGTATACAAAAAAATTATAAATCTTGTAGTAATGTTACGCATACTAGGCGAGCCCGTCGTCATGGTTAACATGATAAGTGTAAACGACTGTAAATTATAGACTAAAGACTACAAGACAATGATCATGGCTAATATCTATGTAATAAAATAAAACGAACTAACTTCTTCATTAAGCCTTCTAATACAGTTGGAGATTGAGATTGAACAATTTTAACAGCACGAGAACGGAAGCATAACTTAGGATCTAAACGAATTGCTGTATATTTTTCCCATCCATGTTTCATAATACCAAGTAGTAAACATTTGTCACAACAGGCATCCCACCATGGAGCAGGTAAATCTGAATCGAGAGCTAAAAGAAAAAAATGACAACAATTACAAACCTTTATAAATTGAGTGTAATAAGTAATTACAGACGGATTAAAATAATATAATAATTGAGAATGAGGAGGGAATAATATTACGCAGCGATAGTTTAAGAATTACTCTTGATACTAGAAATAAAATAAACGATAAATTAGAAAATGTGGTCTCAGTAATACGCACAATTCACTTATAGAAGAAAAATGAATAAAACTAAAGGAAATGAGCATTAGACCAAGTTGCTATATCTGATATCAGCAAAGTGACAGGAATTCATCAAGAGATGAGAATTAATAAACTATTCATGAAGAACATAGTAAAGAAAACTCCTATAATGTTAATTGTCATAATAACATTAAATTGAATAATGAAACAACCCAAATAAAGAAAAGTAAGTCACCTTGAATGACTAAACAGAAAATATGTGATTCAAGAGTTGAAAGTATACATCCCAACCGCTTAAATATGAAAAACTGACATTTTTAATGATAGACAAATTATCGATAAAGTGATCACCATCCGGATATCCAGTTAAAACGAATTATCACTGAATCCCAGCTCTTAGACGTATTAGATTGTTATTGTTGAATATCAAGTCATATAAACAGGTTTATGTACCGGATAAATCACGTGAATTGAAAATCCCGAAATCACTAATGAGCCCGTAAAAACGCATACCTTATATAAAGATGCTGTGTTGAAAAACTGTCAGTTGTGAAAATCGAATGCCATTTTCATAGAAAATTATGTATGATAATAATTCAGTAACAAGCAGAAAACTAACGCACATAAAAATACGAATATGGATAGATAGGATAAGCTACCAAAAATGTGAAAACGTAAACAATTCCCTGAAAATAATTTATGCGAAAGATAATTAGAAACGGTCTACAAAATACCTTCTAACGGAGGTAAACTTGATGCTAATTCATTGAAATCAGTGTGACTTAATTTGGACGAGATCAGATCTTGAGCAGGATTTATACCAATAATATCACATTGTAAAAAGAATAGAAGAGCGACACGATTCAAAAGCCTAGCCCCAGCTCTTTGAACATGCTTTTTAAAACTTTCAGATGGTAGTAGAAGTTCAGGTTTGAATGCTGCAACTTGAAATGGAATAGAAAAAACACGCGACAACAATAGAACAGTTTAGTTTTATGGTTATATTGATTACGACTAAAAATAGTATGAAGATATTGAATAAGAAAATCACTTATTGAAATTATATTCAAGCAAAAAAAATTCGAAGTAGATATTGAGGAAACTAGGTTATAGTCACCTTTGACCTTAATGCATATTTATTACAGATATTACAGATATACCAAAGCTTCTATAGACATCAGCAATCATACAATCTGAATCATATAACTACTATATTTTTAATGAAGTGAGGAATAAAAAACAACAGTTTATTGACGTTAAACTTACGTCTAGGAGATATTTGGGTTTCTTCTATTTTGATAGGGTTCTCATCATCAATATCATCTTCATCTTTCTCAGGAATTTCATTTCTTTCAATTGGTTCACATGATTCCAATTGGGTATTGCATCTAACCATATTATGTAAAATATCTGTATCGTCTGCAGTTAGTTTCATTGTCGTAGTATTTAAAGGATCAGTTGATGAAGCATCATCTACTAGTGGACTGCCAACTGGATTATAATCACTAGGAACAGGAGAGTCTAAACAACGTTTGTTCTCAGTTATCAACTCGGAAGATAACATATCTTTTTTGTTCACCTTCTGTTCTAGGATTGGTGTTTGACCTTCAAAGTTTTCAACATCGATATTAAGAGATACAGAAGGGGCCATACATTTAATTTTAGCGGTGGCTTCTGAAACAACAGTATTCACCTGATGAATATCAAGTTTCCAGGTACCAGGACGAGCAAGAGTTTCACAGATAGCACGTGTGCGAACATCTGAATTCGGTGGTAAACACTGTAAAGTGTAGTCCAATAACGCACATGAAAAATATGCCAATTCAGATGGCAGCATAGTTCGTTTGAAAGTGACAGACGAAATTGCTTGCTCCCACTGACCCCAGGACCATGTGAGTAAACAACGCTCAACTCGAAAAAGATCAGCTCGATCAAGCGGTTCAATTACATTTGGATTACTTTCTATACATCCATCAGGTTCTTTTGAAACAACGGATTTTTCCTGCTTGATGTTTGAAGTTGGTATTGACTTTCGTGAATTTCGAGCAGCTCGTCGATTCCTACGGGATCGAATTCGACCTGATGAACATTGAATAACCGTCTCATCACCAGAACTGTTTGAGTTTGCATTATCATCGAAATCCGACATGTTAAAGCTAGCTGGACTTGGAATGTTAGAAGGTTCATTAACCATCATTGACGAATAACGATTAGTTTGACGGCGTTGACGTGGAGTTTGGACTATCAGATCCTACAAGCAGTCAGAACATAAAGTTAAAACTGGTTCCTGAAGTGACACTGAAATACTACAGAGACTATATATTCTTAAAACGAAGCTAAATTAAGAAAAGACAACTTTTACTATATCCCACCTAAGAAACAACAATAATGAGACCTACTTTCATGACTAGTGCCGTTTCATCAACTCCAGCTTTTTTAGCCCATTTCTGCCAGAAGTTCGGATCGTCTAATGCAATATCGCTCCTGTTATCTGACATTGAAAATGTCGCCTGAAATAAGATTGCAAAGTAAAAAAAACTAGTAGACAATGAACAAGAAGAATAGACTCCAATTATTCGATTAGACTTGAAGAACAGACAAAAGGTTCAACATTTTATGCATTACTTTCCGAATTTATTGGTAGGAGACACCGAATACACATGCACCACACTTCAATCGATTTATGTGAGAGCTTGGACACTTGATGGGCGGGCCAAACCGGAGAAGGCGACTTTTATAGACGGCAACTCCCCGAACACATGACCTAGATTTCTAATTAACAAGGCACTGAAACAACGTAAAGAAGTTCAGTCCCATAGTAGCCAGTGACTAACAATTGATTCATACTCCATTTGTTCCCTCAGGATCTTGGGACCCAAGTGCACCACTGGTTTGGAATCAGGGATTTCCGACTCCTCCATATCCACCAACCCAGTTAAAGCGCTGGACATTCGATTTTCGTCCTCCCAACTTCGTTAATAGCCATCCCCGTGAGAGGGTAATGAGTAGGATTTCCCTGGAAGTAGCTGTATACGTGAGGCCATATGAGAGCGTTTCGAGTGGATTCTCCCCGTCCGCGACCATACCAGGGCATTTGGGGGCCACTTATCGAATACACTAACAATTGTGATTCAATATACATATAAAGGTCTATATGGTCAAGCGTTGAGTGAAAATAATTATATGAAAGCTGGACAAACTACCTGAATAACTAAACGGGACTATCAGTTGGCAGTTAAGTGTACAAACTACTGAACCAAAGATTTGTATTAGCATATTGAATAATTATTACCAAAACTTAAACACGACAACAGTAAACAACACAAATAAGATATAATATTTAGAATAACACGTATTCAAGTTAGTCTGTCACACGTTCTCATATGGAATGTCTAGGATATATGTTTCCATTGAGGAAACATCTAAAAAGGTTATTTATACAAATAGTAAACAGCAACATTTCAACTATTTTAACTGTAGGAATATAAAATACAGAAAACAGATTATTCTGCGAGTTTGAGCATGATAAAATCACAAGATGACTTAGTTTTCTTACTACTAGTTAGAATAAAAAATGAATATGTAGGGATTTACATAGCAGTGTATGACATAAACGAGAAAAATTGAAAATCAATATTTGATTGAAAAGACAGATCAATGATCAGCATCAGTAAGTCAACGTGAAAAATCAAAACGAAAGGTTTATAAAGTAGCATTACTTTAGAAAAAGTAGAGTTCTCTTTTCCTTGTTCTAATTGAACAACACGTGCTCTTGATTGAAGTATCTGATCAATATCTTCTTCACAAAAATCTTCACCAGCTTTATCATCATCCATTAATGCTCCATATGCACCTTTCTTTAAAAGATCTTCAATTTCTTTTTTTGTCATTTGAGCCTATGAGAAATAAAAATCGAGAAAATATACTGAATTCAGGAGATGATGAAGATTAGATAATGGATGTAATTGTAAGTGAAGCAAGTCAAGTGATATTCGAAGGAAATATTTTACCCTCTTCTTTAATTCTGTTACAATATAGGTTTGAGTCTGTCAAGTGTAATCATTATAGTCATATCCACTTCATTTAGCCTTATTGTATATACAAGCGGTTAGCCTGGGGTTCGATATAGAGAAAAAGATTTATTTCTGCCAACTTTCAAATGATTATCAATGATCAAATCCCTTCTACTTCTAGCGCGTAAATTCAATAATTACTTGATACACAAAGCAAAGATCATTTGACGTACATGTATGAATTTGTAAACATTTTGTAACCATAATTTCTTTGAACTCATTATTCTTAAACTTTTTAGCATCATTTTAATTTGAAATGACTTTTCTCGAAAAAAAAAACGTATACTTATGATGAGCATTATTACGTGTTAAAAGTTTTGACATAAATCTGAATCAATAAATATAGAGAAACCAGAAATTAGTACACACCATCAAGTGTGAATATAATCAATAAAACTTGTAGTTGGAAAATTACAGTGCATTTAGTTACTCGACAAAACAATTATCATACCATTGATTTAGATTCTAATTATTGACAGAAAATACCATCAACATAACCATCACTACATTAGTACACATACTTGTCTAGCTTCTTTACTTCCCATAGACTGAAGAACTGCTCGATCTAGACCAAGTTTAAGAGATGCTCGATCAAACATTTCACGTTCATATGTATTACGAGTAATTAAACGATAGACTTTAACCATTTTTTGTTGACCAATACGATGACAACGTGCTTGGGCTTGAAGATCATTTTGAGGATTCCAGTCAGAATCGTAAATAATTACCACATCGGCAGCAGTTAAATTAATTCCCAAACCACCAGCTTTGGTACATAACAAAAAGACAAATTTATCTGGATCTAAATTAAGAAAAAGTAGATAAGTGAATAAATAATATTATCGATAAAAGCCATAAGGAATACACAGAATAGTAATATAACATGTTAATATAGATGATGAGCTGAGTCAATGTAGATAAATAATAATAAACCAAACGTCTAAATATCCGAAAAATCAAAACGATAAAATATATTATACAAATGGAATGTCATATGAACATTCCTCGGAAAAAAATTTTGTCAAAGCAAAGCTTATTCATTTTGTGTACAGTTTAACTCAATTAACGGTAGATCGATTTTATATCTTATATGTCAAAAGTGGAAATTTCAACAACTACAATCTTGATCACCATGTGTTTGAGTTAACCTATTCACAGACTGAAAATTGTATTCTGCTTTATGTTAATTATAGTATAAGCGAATGTTCGTGAAATATATATATATATATATATATATATATATAAGGTATATCATGATAGTAATCGGATTACTTTGATTTTTTATGATAATTTTAATTGTTGCTAAAGATCTGAAAGTTAACTTTTCACACTCAACAAATATACAAGTATATAAGCAATGATAGGTTAACTCATTAACGGTAATTATTAGAAACTGTCTTCAAAAAACATTTCAAACTGTTAATTTCAAGGCAGGTTCGAACTAAGAACAAATTTGACCATTGGTGTTTAAAAAAATACTATATCGATGTTCAAGAAGTGCGGAGTATTGTCTATACGTCAAGAAATTTTAATACAGATGGGAATCGGTACGTTTATTTCTACTTTAGAACCTATTGAGAGGTCAAGATTTTTACCATACAAAATTAGTTATAGAATTATTTGTTTAATTTAAACAAAAAACAATATACCGTCAAAAATTATCATCAATAATACAAAGATTCAAAATCAGGATTATGATATTCCTCTATAGATTCATATTTAAACGTGAAAGGATCTAAGGCGAATTCATACATACAATGCTGCCAACAACATTAATCAGTTTGTGTTTATAGGTAACATCAAGAATTAAAAATCAAATCATGAAACCTTTTGCTTACTTCGCTTACGATCAATAGAAGTTATTAACATCCTATTATACAAACTAATAACAAAACGATTATCTGAATAGTGAATTTTAAAAGAAGTAATAAACAAGGCACGTTTCTTCTTTTCTTAATATTAAATGTCACCAAATAATTTATCAGATTATTAGCAATATCATTATTACCATTCATGACCAGTAGTTGATAATGTATGAAATTGTTAACATTTTAGACATATTTCATACTGATAATTCTTTTTATATTTTAAACAAAAAATAGAACGGATCAATTGATACGTATAGGTGTGTTTCGTGTAGAAATAAATAGTTTTTAATGATTATAGAATTACTTGTTACTATTTGTATGAGAGCGTACGTATGTGTGTGTGTACTGGAAACCAAATATAGTTTAGTAAAATATGAAGAAAAAAGAAGAGAAAACTACTGAACGATGTACATGTTTCATAGTTTAATAGAAAAGAAAAAAAGGACATACTACAACACATCCGATATATAGTGGAACGAAAAAAAGTCCTAGTCTAGTTTTAAAAAGACAATTGTTGAAGTAAGAACTTTCGTTTTTCATTTGTTCGATTGATGAAATAGGGAAAAAGAAGAAGAATTACAACTGTGAAAAATGATTTAATCCCCTGAACATGACAAAATACTCTGTGTACAGTAGAAAAATTTCCATTTTATATAATAGTTAACACAATCAGTTGTTTCGAAAAGTTATTAAATATCAGTTTCCTCTAATCAATTTTTATAAGAAAGCAGAGAGAGTACATGTTTGATGAGACAAATAGTGCATCACGCATAAGATACTCTAGATGGGTGAAAAAAACCTATGAAAGAAACGAAACCTGATGTTATATGATATTGATGTGAAATCATATTGATAATTATCTAGCAAGATATATTCCAAAAAATAAATTGATTTATAAGTTAATATTATACACCTCACAATCGACTTTGAAGTGTATACTACTAATCATACTATGAACTGCTTTGTAAATTATGTGATTTATTAAACTCAATATTTATTTATTGATTATTTTATTTGATTATTTGTTCTTTATACAGTTGTAAAAATAAAATAAGTGGTGTCATAAGGTGAATGAACAATATATGATTATTTCCACTTTACTGTCGTAAAAGTGTAGTATCAACTGAAAGAAATATAGTTGGCTTAGTCATATTATTGACCAAAACTATTTTCTTTAAAAAAATCCAATAGGTTCTTCTGTTTTTTTTTACGGTTAACAACACTTAAAGATGTCTACAAATATTTTTTATTCATGAATATAAAATAAAGATATTTACGTTTATGTTCTAAGAAGTTTCTATTAATGTTTACAGTAAAGACAATGCCACATAATCTGTTAATTGTTATGACTAATAGGATTAAATTTGCTAAAATTGGTTGATAAATTACTTTGTAAAAGGATTTCTTAAAACTCACCAATACTGAATCTGTCTATTGCCTCTTGACGTAATGGTCCATGAATCCGTCCATCGATACGTTCAAATTGAAACCTAAACACAGTATACATAAATTGCATCTGATTTATAGGGAGATGAGATAAACTAAATTGACGCTAACACACTATAATGAATGGTTCTGCATGAGAACGCAAATATTTAGAAAAGCATAACAGGAATGTTGTATTCAAGCGGCACATAAATCAATTACGGAGAGGATATTTTGAAATTATGTTTACTAATGTAATAAGCAGTAAAATTGAGATAGTACAATCTTACCAGTTAGTAATAAGTAAAATCCCTAAATTCATAATTTATCTGGAGTGTTTTTTTATGCTAACATTATTATTACAACATAAACAATAACAAACCGTAATATTGTAACTAATGTTAGTATGAATTACAAACCCATAACTCTAACTTCTAAGGCAAGCACTAATTACCTAATAGACTTCGGAGATAGCAATCCAAACTAACCTGTTATATGATTGGAGAGCACAAATTATAGACTTAAAAATAATAAGCCTAATTTACAGTACCTTCGTAAAGCTATTTTTACTCAGTGGTAACAACAGATTAAATGTGACATCAGTTAAACAAAACGTCACTGATAACTAGTATTACATAATGAATAAAAGGAACTCAGGTGATAATGGAGTAACCAATTATACAAAGTATGCAGGTACTCTGGACGAGACATTTTGTTTAAAAGGGAGAAATAATAAATGTGAATACTAATTAAGCAGGACTAGACTTTGATTACATGTTACATAACTAAATATTGTACCCTAATAATTTTGATTACGAGACAACAGTGAGTTAGCAATATGAGCAATTTCCATTTATAATGGATTCATTTTTCCTAACTTATTGATATTTTGCAATGCTTTACAATTAGAATAAGGATTAAGAGTGTATTGTAAAATCTTAAGGTTCATATTGAAAATTTCCTATTGTATAGAAGGAATTAGTATTTATTAGAGTAATCATTACTAATTTTATAGCTAAAAAACTAATGTATATTGTGTGAAAGATAAACATTTTTAGAAATATTCAGTACAAAGCTTGGTGGTCGGAGCGTGCTAACGAATTGGAAGCAGCAGCTGCCGAATGCTCTTTCGACTCATCCGAGTCACTGGTAGTAAGAAGTCTAGTGTGAGCGATAACGCGATGCCAATCACTAAAATCCATCGATGTCTTAAACAATGAGTAGAGTTTACCGGGGAGCAGTTCAACTGGTCTGGACATCGATCAAACTGTCCTGCTCTCTCTATGGCTCGTAACGAATGGTCTACCTAACGAGGCAGAAGTCCGCAAGGAACCCCAGCTCATGAGGCACCACAAACCAGCAGGCACAGATGGCTTACCTCCAGCTCTTTTTAAAGTTGGGGACTTTCGGGTTAAGGAACTGACTGAGTTGTTTGCAAACGTTTGGGAATTTGAGTGTTACAACATCATGAAATGAAGCAATAGTCTTGGGATAAATCTGCTGGCGATCGCGGCCAAATTATTGGCTTCCATTATAATTCGCAGATTATTGAAAACCCGAGAAACACTGACTCGCTAGAAGCAGGCTCGTTTCGTTCTAGTCGAGGATGTATTAATCATATCTTCACCCTGAACCAAACGTTAGAGAACCGTCATACGTATCACAGGCCAACAACCATAATGTTTCTTGACATTAGGACCGCCTTCGATTCGTTGAACAGAACGGTTCTGTGGGATTGCCTATTGAAGAAGAGCGTGCCTAAGGAGTTTATTAACTTCTTGAAAGCCCTATATAAAACACTTCAGGTAGAGAGAGAGCATGCAACCACCTCTCTCCATTGTTCTATTCAAGCAGTGGGGTTAGGCGTTCTAGAAACAACTCTGATGGATGTAGATTATGCTGGCGTGGATCTGTTACCCGGAGAAGTACCTATCGATCTTTAGTATTGTCTTACTGAACGATGATACCCAGGTCATCCAATCCGCACTTCATCAGTTGCGAATCAGTGTCAGTGGGCATGACACGTGCTTTGCAACTTCGAAGTGCAAAGTACTTCTACAAAACTGACAGGACCGCGATCCTGCACTAACCTTGTGTAGTGAGAAGATAAAAGTAGTCGGGAAGTTCGTGTAATTGAAAGAATTCTTTCTGGTTGTATTTTTTCTAATTGAACTGTTTCTCCCATTATTATTATTATTATTATTATTATTATTATTATTATTATTATTATCGTTTCACTCTCACACGCTAATTTCGGTCCATTGTAGTTCTTCTTTCATCACACTGACTTTACGTTCTTAATCTCTTCACAATCACATTATTATTGTGTGGTGCATGTGTATTTTGTGTCTCGTTGTACCAATGTTTATGTGTCCAAACAATAATAATAAATAGTACGAACTTTTTACTGAAATACTCATTAATTTGAACATAAAAATATTGGTACATGAGGCACTGAATTCATGTGCGCTACTTCATTTGTGTGTGGGCTGTGTTACTGCCCGAGTGCCCAGAAAAAAGCAGGTTTTAGTCAAATAACTTGGTACTATTAATTTTTAGAATGACAAAGAATAATTGCAATTGTTTATAAAGTAACTCTCAAATTAAGGAAAAGAATACAACACGATAAAACATTTTTGCCAGCACAACATCTGAAAAAGTAGCAACTTACCCTTGGTGAACAAGATAGTCTTCAAGAATATCGAGTACACGAATCATTTGAGAAAATATGAGAACTTTGTGACCATCAGCACGTAATTTCGGCAACAACTTATGGATTAACACAAGCTTTCCTGATGCATAGACCATTGTTCGAAAGGTCAGATCATCTTCGCTCAAGGTATTATCGTTCGCCTTGAATAACATTGAAAAATCATTAATTTTTCGTAGTAAAACAATCAAAAATATGTATTTTACTAAACTGAGTAAGCCACATGACAGAATTATATGAAAAGAATATTGATTTTGTCATTCATTAAGTTGTCTTCAGTAAAACTCGTATTTTATGCTTATTATCGACTAAAAACACGGAATTGAGAGAAGCGATTTCATCCCGACAAAATTATTTCAATCTCTACATCCACTCTTTATTTCTAAACATAATTGTATTGTCACCATTTATGTAACAGAATGGCATGAATTATGGAATCCAGTTAAACACTTTGAGAAGTTTACGCTTACAAGTACTTTACAGTAGCTTTAGTCATCCGTGGTCTTAAGTTTACAAAACTATTTTTTAGGTCAAGAATGCAGACTATTCAATAAAGCCGTAAGACGATTTGCATATTGACCTAACATAGTCGATTGCAAAGTATAGTGAGATCACATCAACATTTTCCAGAAAATTCAAATGCCAAACCTAGGCCAAGCAATGATCTAAAGGTTACTGAGAAATATATATATATAATTTAAACATTGAACCGCTAATTTTTATTTAAATGATATAAAATGATGTTCCAATGAGAAATAGATTATATTTATATATTTTAATTGTCGAGAAGAAACAAAGGTCTCAAAAGTTGATCAATACCTGAAATTCTGAGAGTATAGCATCTTCAGCGCCTTTAATTAAAAATGGATGATTACAGCATTTTCTCAACTCCATCATTATATTCATTAAATTAGGAGCATTTGTACTGGAACCCTTGCATAGAAACGAAAAATTACGTTCCATGATTGCGCGATAGTATTTCTTCTGTATATTAGTCAATTCCACCTATTTAAAGAAAAGAAATTGGATAAGTGACAAGATAAAAACAGAATTAGTAGTATAATGTATATTAATTAACCAATTTACTGAAATACCTCAACGACAGTTTCTTCTTTTGGAGCTAAACTCTTTTCAACATCTTCTTTTAGCCGACGTAACATCATAGGTTTTAGCACTGCTTTTAAACGTTCAACTTGTTCTTCTGTTTTCAATTCACCATACTCAGCAACAAAAGTGGCTGAACAATTGAATTTTTCAGGTTCCAAAAAATTCAATAAACCAAACAACTCTTCTACATTATTTTGCAATGGAGTTCCAGTAAGAAGAACACGGTGATCCTGAAAGTTATACGGTAAAACAAAAAATTTAACTCGGTAGCCATACTGACTTCAGACTGCACTTCTTTTATTTAGACAAAAATGTATATCATTATCCTACATAATACAGTATTGGAATTTGTTTACACATGAGATTAGGGTTGAAAATTAATCCCTAACCAAAAACGCATTACAAGCCTAAGAACCTAATCTCGCCTTTGAAATCGATACTGGATTCCAATCCTGCCCTTACAGAAATAACTACACATCCTTAACATAAAAACTAAGCCTGAATCCTAATCAAGGAATCATAAATCGCTCAGATTGGATCAAGCTCGCTCTCATATTTCAGCTTTACTTATGAGAGCTATATTGGGTATACTTTAGTTTATAAAAATTACTAGTAGTTTAATTCAAAGTATACAATAGTAGTATGGGTAGACATCACTCTAAATAAAATACATAAACAAGAAATTAGTAAAATCACTAAAGTGAAACTCTTATTCTACTTATTTTCAATGCACAAATAAAATTTTAAGATACTGATTGGCAAATGTCGTCTATTAAGAATAGTAAGGAATTTCCAGTGGAAGTAACGCCCCAGAAATACATGCTCATTAGATGTTGGGTATGTTAGATCCCCAGAACTCATTTTTTAAATACCTTGTTTTGTAATTATATTTTAAAAAATTGAATTTCTTGTTTTTGCGCCAAAGGCGCTCATTTTTGCCTTCATGTCGTATTTCCCACTTGGGAGGGTCTTAAACGCCATTGGTTTGTTGTATCTTTTAGTATGCTATTTTGAAACGCTTCCCAATGACATTTTTATGCTGTATATAGGCTTGATTTGTGCTTGATGTTGTTCGTGCTTCTGGCTGCTAGTGGGATATATTTCCCTCTCCGAACTTGGACTTCTCTCTCTCTAGTTAGCGGGGCTGGGACGCGCCGGAAATAGCTAACTTATGTCATTGTGTCAGAGTCTTCGTTTCGTTCTCAGATTAGGTGAACTAGTAATCTCTTCAAACATAGCAATAAATTACTTAGGTAATCGGCTGTTGTAACATTTCATATATGTAACGAAGATACACTACAAATACAAATACTACAGAACACTTCTTTCACCTATTTAATGAACATTTTGTAAAAACATGGGAAATAATAAAATCAATGTTTGGACATCAGTATAATCATCATCATTAGCATTACAAATCTAATTTAATTGAATAGTGTGTATGAGTAAGAGAAACGTCGTACAACAACGAATCGACGACATTGGTTTACGAAAACGGTTTCCTATCCCCATCAATCTCAGTAAAAACAAATTATTATTATATATGTTGCATAACAAGTGCATTCTATTTGAATAAAAAACGAACACAATGAAAAAAAACAAATATTTAACTTGCCAAGTCTAAATATCTCAAGCCTTCACCAAGTTTACACTTTTTATTTTTTAGTCGATGCGCCTCATCTATCACAGCAGCTGCCCAATGAATTTGACCAAGAAATTCAATATCATTCATAAGAACTTCAAAAGTTGTAACTATCACATGAAATTTATAAATATCGTGTCTAGGTGCACCGGATGTACGCTTACGATAGAACATTTCATATTCTTGAATCATACTTCGACTAACAGAACTTCCATGATAAATAATCACATTAAAATCTGACCAATTTTCAAATTCTCGTTGCCAATTACCAACAGTAGATAAAGGAACAATAATTAGAAATGGACCTTGGACATTAGCTTTAAATATTTCTAAAAGAAATGTAACACTTTGCACTGTTTTGCCTAAACCCATCTCATCGGCAAGTATACAATTACGATGATGATACCAACAGAATGTAAGCCAATTCACACCTTCAACTTGATAATCACGTAGTTTATTATTGTTTTTATAAATTGTGTTAGAATCAATCGGTTTCCAAGTAGAAGGATCAGGTCGAATAATCTATAAGGAGGTAAAACATTTCAAAGAAAATATCACTAACCATTAGAAATCAAATGCATTAGAATTAAACATAAAATAGTAATAAAACAAACAAACATAGAAACTTTATTGTCATATTTTGATGAAAATAAAAGATCAGAGTAAAACTTTGTGTACCTAGTTGTTTGACTTTTCTTTAAAAAAAGGAATGGAATGACCTCAAAAATGAGTGAGCTTTGGTAATTTCGACAGTACAAATTATGTAAAATACCAAAATCATTATTTGCTACCTGCAAATAGTCTATAAACGTTTGGATAAAAGTAGATACATTGAAAAATAAACACACAAAAATACTTTGAAAACGACTGACATATATCATAAGAGTATCTAAGACCGTAAAAACACTCATCTATACTATACTCCGCCTGTAGCTCTCCTAGAGTTACTGCTGATCCAAAGCCCGGGTAAAGTAGGAGGGTTGAGCATGGGGTTAGCGACCCAATCCCGTAGAAAACTAACTCGCTATAAAAACGCTAACCAGAAAAAATAACTCAAACCATTTAAACTCTGCCCTCGGAGTTAGAAGGTCTTCATTTAGAAGAAATATGACGCCTCAGGGTGAAAGCCGAGTTCCTTCGGAAGCCGCGAGGCCGATGCCCCTTCTAACAACCAGAGCAACAATTTTTATAGGTACATGGGACGTCCGGACAATGTGGGAAACTGGTAAGACCAGTCAAATAGCAACGGAAATGAGGAGATACAACTTGGCAGTACTTGGAATCAGCGAAACCCATTGGACTGAAGCTGGACAACAAAGGTTAAATACGGGAGATGCTGCCATGCTCCGGTCACGAAGAGGAAAATGCTCCACACACTCAGGGAGTTGCTCTAATGCTGTCCAAAGTAGCACGAAATGCACTTGTAGGATGGAAATCTCACGGATCCAGAATCATCAAAGCATCATTCAAAACAAAGCAGGAGGGGATCACAGTGAATATTATCCAATGTTATGCACCCACCAATGATAGCAACGACGACGTTAAAGATCAATTCTACGAGAGGCTGCAATCAATCATAGAAAAGTGCCCAAGAAAGGACCTCGCCATTCTGATGAGAGATCTAAACGCCAAAGTCGGAATAGATAACATCGGATATGAAGATATCATAGGACTACATGGACTGGGAGAGAGAAACGAAAACGGGGAAAGATTTGCAAATCTGTGTGCATTCAACAAATTGGTCATAGGTGGCACAATATTTCCACACAAACGTATACACAAAGCTACATGGATCTCACCGGACCACACCACAGAGAACCAGATAGATCATAATTGCATCAATAAAAAGTTCCGAAGGATAATGGAAGATGTGAGGACCAGGAGAGGAGCGGATATAGCTTCAGATCCCCACCTGGTTGTGGCCAATTTAAAACTGAAGCTAAAGAAGAATTGGACAACTGGACAAACAGCTCTGCAAAGGTTCAATACAACCTTCCTTCGAGATGCCGACAAACTCAATGGATTCAAGATAGCTCTCAACAACAGGTTCCAATCCCTACAGGATCTACTGAAGGAAGAAGAAACTACTATGGAGGACAACTGGAAAGGTATCAAAGGAGCATTAACTTCAACGTGTCAAGAGGTTCTGGGCCCCAAGAAGCATCATCACAAGGAATGGATCTCTATAGAAACACTGGACAGGATCAAAGAAAGGAAGAACAAGAAGACAGCAATTAACAAGAGTCGAACACGAGCAGAGAAAGTCCAAGCACAAGCCCAGTACATAGAAACAAACAAGCAAGTAAAGAAAAGCATTAGAGCCGACAAGCAGAAATACGTGGAAGAACTAGCAACGACGGCGGAAAAAGCTGCAAGAGAAGGAGATATGAAACAGCTTTACGATACAAGGAAGAAACTAGCAGGGAAACATAGTAAACCAGAGAGACTAGTAAAAAGGCAAAGAAGGAAGACCAATCACTGAGATTCAACAACAGCGGAACAGATAGGGCGGGCACTTCGAGGAACTCTTGAATAGGCCAGCTCACCTCTGAGGGAAAACACGGCATACAATGGACAGCTCAGAACCAATTAGACGATTTGGACTTCGCAGATGACCTAGCCCTCCTATAGCATACATACGAACAAATGCAGACAAAGACAGCCAGCATAGCAGCAGTCTCTGTATCAGTAGGCCTCAACATACACACGGGGAAAATCAAGGTCCTCAAATACAACACGGAGAACAGCGATCCAATCACTCTGGAAGATGTGTAATCCTTCACATACTTGAGAAGCATCGTCGATAAACAAGGAGGTTCAGATGCAGACGTCAAGGCGAGGATTGTCAAAGCTAGAGCGGCATTCCTTCAACTGAAGAACATATGGAACTCAAAACAACTTTCAACCAATATCAAAGTCAGAATCTTCAATACGAACGTCAAGGCAGTCAGTTCTATTGTACGGAGCTGAAACTTGGAGAACTACAACAACCACCATCCTGAAGGTACAAGTATTTGTCAATAGCTGTCTACGCAAGATACTCAACATCCATTGGCCGGATACCATCAGCAACAGCCTTTTGTGGGAGAGAACCAACCAGCTTCCAGTTGAAGAGGAAATTAGGAAAAGACGATGTGAATGGATAGGATATACATTGAGGAAATCATCAAACTGCATCACGAGGCAAGCGCTAACTTGGAATCCTGAAGGGAAGCGGAAAAGAGGAAGGCCAAAGAACACATTACGTCGGGAAATAAAAGCGGATATGAAAAGGATGAATAAGAACTGGAAAGAGCTGGAAAGGATTGCCCAGGACAGGGTTGGATGGAGAATGCTGGTGGGCCGCCTATGCTCCTTCGCGAGGAGTAACAGGCGTAGGTAAGTAATATATATATATATATATATATATATATATTACCAAGACGGGAAGATAGTAAAACAATATTACCTTGTAATTATTATCCCTAGGAATAAAAGGATTCCTTGGTGGGTAACGACGTTTGTAGAATTCTTTGACTTTTGTTGGGTCAACATCTTGAGATAATTCCCATGTGGCATCTTCATAAGCTAATGAACGCCATTTAACCAAGTAGTAAGTTACATTAACAGGTGAACAGGTGCCATCATCATCATCATCGTCCTTATCATCGATATCATCATATTTTTCAGTTTTATTTGTTAGTAAAGTTGCTTCCAATTGAACGCTTTCTATTTCATATTGCTTAGCTGCTGACGATGTATTTCCATCGCTGATGTCATTAAACCTATCTTTCTCCTCATTATGAGACGACATTAGATCAGCAGGGCTAGGACAAATAGTGTCTGTAGATTTTATATCTACCTCAACAAGTGTGGTCTGAGAGATATGTGAAGATGTATCTCCTGCATTGGAACTACTTGGAGGAGGACAATTAGGGTTGTTGTCAGCTTCAAGAAAATCTTCAGTAAGTGGTGTTGTTGAATGATTTTCTGAAACAGATTCTGAAGTATTCATTGTTAACATGATAGTCGACTCCTCAGATGGAGCCTCACTTTTTATTTTGCATTTTGTTTCACGAACATTACGGACTTTATTGCGCTCCTTGTGTCGTCTAATATACCTTTTTAAATCCGCTGGATCACCACTGAAGCTTTCTCTACCAGACTCACGTTCTAACTTCTCCGTAGGTACTAGTTGACCATTACTATAAACTTTAACGTCTAGTACGCGTTCAACTTCCACATAATCTGGATTAAACAATACGACATCATCATCCTAAAGTTAGAATCATAATAAATTAAGAGTATAAGTAAAACCACCCGAAAATCAAATACATTTGAAAAATAATATGTGAATCAGAGTTATTTAACGTTATGGCATTTCCTTGTGTAATCAATAATTAATAATTAAAGTCGAAGTATAATTTACACTAACACTACAATGAACAACCAATAAATTTTTCTTACAAACAAGAGCTTTATGCTATAAGCTTCGAGATACACTACGTGTATAGGATAATGATATTATGCCGTTGATCAAAACCAAATAGGTGCAGCAGAAGTTAAATTTGCAATCTAAAGAATTATTTTAACCAATAAGTTCAAAACAGGTACCAAGGCCAAAAACTCAGCAAGGAAACATAAAGTCTATTCATACAATGATGTAGTAGTTTCCGCGCTACTTTTACAACACGAGACCAGTTTTCAATGTCAAAATAATTTACCAACTAAAAGTATGGTTTAAAATTTCACTTGTGGTGTGAATAAGTTACCTAGTAACTTATCAAGTAATCCTGTGATTACCCAAGATAGAAAAATTAAGCAAACCAAAATTTCATTTCTAATGTTTTCACGACATTTACCAACTGTGAATTCCTAAGGTTTAACATAAGGGTTTAAGTAATAAAAAAAATGCTGATATGATTTTGCGAAAACCCAACTAAGATGGGTGATATACGTTACTTATGCTACCTACCTTGTTGCAGGCAGATAGATGAGAAACAAGTGAGTAGAGTGGAATGATAAAAACGAGTGTACGTTGTGTCTATCGGCTTGTATTATATGCGGCACTATAAGCTTTTAGATTAAGGTCTAAGAGCTCATAAAGCGTTGGTCATAAAAAACTGGAACTTATGACCCAAGATATACTAATAATACAATAACATAATATTTGTTCATTGTGTACTTATTCTGCTTTGGTTCATTGTTTAAACGGATGAATTAAGATGTGAGATTTTACATTGTTCAGCCTATTACGTCTTTTCTGAAATATATACGTAAGTTGCATTTAAGGCAATGTTTCTTGTCAATAATTTTATGATTGAGCTAACTGGCTGGTGAAGTAGTTCGGTACTCCACCGGATAACGCTGCCATCTCGAGTGATAGATGATAACATTTGATTGTTAGCAAAAGTATAATAATTAGGGTGTGTAAAGCTCTTTCATGAGTCTGAAACAGGAAGAACTACATAATGTGGACCCCATTGCTGACCACTAACACTATAAAAAGCAGAAATGATTTCATTATGTATGGGTCCTAGTGATGCTGGTGATATATGAGATTTGCACATATCAAATGAACAGTCAGACAATCAATAATACGCTAGCATTACGCTCAATTGTAAAAATAAAATTCTCTAACCATTTGATTAGTTAAATAAAGACTTACTTCGGTGCGCATCGAATTGGCCTGTTTCAACTCAAATCGTCTTATTTTCGGAAGAATGCGCGGATCAGTGATTTCATCTAAAGCACGCCACTCACAATGAAGGTATGAGCTGCAAAAATATTTTTAAAAAATGACACCGAATACATGCTTTACTGATGAACGGATCTTTTTTTAACAAAGGGAAAGGTGTAAATAACTTTTTTATAGTTGAAAAACAGAAAGATTACATAACAGCTGGATATGTACCATATACTGATAGCAAAAACCCACGCTAATTTACAATGCTAAAACTAATTGTCAGTTACACAATAAACTGATAGGATTTTCAGATTACTTTTTCACAAACTTTCCCGCATTTCAAACAATATGGTATAGGAGTTGGTATTGTTACACACCTATGTGATTTATTATAAGCTTTGAAATTATTTGATTATTATTTGAAATTATTCAGGCTATTGGCAGAGACTCAACGGATAACATGAGTTTACTGCAATTGTTGTGACTTTTTATAGTGACACTACATCAGACAGTGAATCGATGACTTCCAACTACGGTTCACTTTAATACTGTAGCCTAAGGAATAGTCTTTATTTGTACAATTTTTCTAACGAAATAAACGTTCAGACCATACGAAATAGCAAGATAATTAAGATGGAAGATTTTTGGAAAAAGAAGTATTTTCACAGTTGAAATCATGAGTCTAAATAAGCTAGACCACTATTCAGAATCTTCATGCGCTGAACGGCCATCTATCCATAGAGGTCGCGCGCGAGACCGGAAGTATTGGATACGAGTCCGCGTACGAGATTGTGGATGAGCACCGCTGGAGTCCCATACCAGGACGAAACGGCCGCACAGGTTTTCAATGTTGGTCTAGAGAAGACTTGTGATTTCAACTGCGAAAATCACTAAGAGTTCAGTATCACAATACAAAGTATGCTTTAATGGTCAGACAGCGGTAAATGTGTATATAGTTGTGTTTAATTTACATAAATTATTGTACTCTGAGGAAGAAGTATGATTAAAGACAGGTGATAAAATTTGCCTTAACAAATATAAGTTTAGAACAATTTCCCATGAATTCACGAACTATTAATGGAATTTCGTAATATCACCATGAAATGGGAACAAAGAGAGTAGAGAATGTTAAAAATATAATCACTAGAAAACTTACTAAGATTTATATTTCAAATAGAATTCTTCAACTTCTTCTTCTTCCTCTTCTTCTGTAACTGTGACTTGAGACTTCTCCCCTGAATTATTTGTTGAGTTTTGCATGTCAACTTTACTACTTTTGTTAATAACATCGTCAGTAGATCTTATCTCAGTTTGAGTAATTTTTTTGATCAATCTCTTAGTAATTCGTCGACCAAGTACGGACTCAACAATCTTGTTATCAACATCTTCGGCGAAATCCTAAACCATAAAATACGCAAAACGATATAATATCTAAAAAAATGTGAGACATTTGAGGATTCTGAGAAAACTAAATAATAAGCTTTGAGTTTTATAGTGTTTATGGATTATTGAATACAAAAAGGAGACACTAACTAGTTAAGTCAAACAAATAACCAGGCCAATGATTCTTCTAACACAGTGATCATGAGTACAACGCATTTAATATAAATGTGGCTCTACAGTTATTACATCCCTATTTTGGGTTACTTTGTGCAACAAAATATTATTAGCTTTTATTATCCTAAGAACCAAGAACCAGAAATATCTACTTACGAAAAGTAGAGAGCTGTTAGGCTGATCCGATAGCACAACTACTTTTCGAGAATAACAAGCCTCAAAAATAAGCTGTTTTTCTCATTCCTATCAAGATTTCGTAATATACAGACACTTACTAATTTAAAAAGTTTGAAAGTAGCACATCACATCGTTATTTGAGCGATTATGTATTAAAGTTTGATCAAATGAAAAGTAACTCGTTTAAAAGTGTTGCGCTGAAAGTTTTATAAGCTTGGAAATATGTATTTAATATGATGCTTCTACAACTAAAAACGAGTTCATTACAACAAGGAGGTTTCTAGAGATATCCAATATATTACATTACCAATTCCTCCGCTCTTCTTACTGGTAAATCCTACTGGCTGTACTGATATGATGTATGGGTATTCAAACACATGTAATTTCTTGTGGCACATTTTACAATATCATTGATAATCAATATCTCAAGACTGGATTAGTCATACTAGAAAGAAACTTGTGAAAATAGACTAGCTTTTTAAATGGAAGAATCGCGGACATAAAAGAAAATTGATTAGCATTTAACAGCTTAAACCACATTTTGCTACCCAGATACATTCGTTTTCCTACAAAAGTTTACTTCAACAAAAAATGCTTACGCTCGTCATAAACTTCTAGTCGTAGTACAAGTACGACATCACTTACACGTCTTCACTTTTCCCTCTAACTTTTGTTTCTTCTATCGGGTTTTTAGTACATTGATAAAATGTGTTAAATTATTTAATCTGAATTAATTTAGTAATTTAGACATGTATTGAAATAGCACATAAATACGCTAATGTTTAACTGAGAGTCTAAAGTTCAACTAAGGATTTAGTATGAAAACTATGGTTAATTAACATTATATTATTCTTCGTGAAATTGCTTACAGCAGAATCATTTAGCGTAATCACTTCACCATCTTGACCATCGATCTCATCATCACTGAGGTTAAGCTGTAAATCGTCAGTATAACTTTTACGATCGCCAGTATTTCGTTCGGAACGACGTTTCTATAATAATAAAATATTAAGGTAAGAAAACTCTATATTTTATCAATGCAATTTATCTATAAAAGCATTTTAGCTAAAAATTAGATATCTGACATTTTTATTAGAAGAGAAAAAGTTCTGACGATACCATAATTTGGCCCAAAAATTGAGATAATTAAGACATTAATACACTTTTTTAACTCATAGACATGAACTACATTCCGTTACCGAAACCGAAGTAGACGGAGGAAGGTTCAAACCTGAAACTAGGTGGCCAAAAGTTAGACGCCACCACTAAGCCACCGACTCTACCAATGCGCTGATCTAAGTAGTGTAAACTTTGTAAAAGAGATTTAATAATTATTTGACATCATGTAGGATGTAACAATAATAGAAATGTGGAAACTGAATAATATACTGTGTTTAATGACATGACGGTTTCATTTTTAATCATATGCTTTATAGTGTGACACAATATCGTTCACCAAATAACATTTTTGATATAATATTTTATTCATAATTAAAACACCGCAATCAATCTTTGTACTGGGGACGTATTAACCTATTAAAAGTGCCATGTAATGACAGTGGGGTCAAATTAGACAGTCGAGGTTAGCCAGATTATTAAATGAGAACGTGGCTACAGAAAAAAAAATCAGGAGACCTTAAAATAAAAACCTGACGAAAGAAACTGAACGATAACTATCATTCAGATGATATGTACTTTATTTTATCTTTATCTGACCCTCTTCAGCGTCAAAGATTGGAATTCATTTGACACTACTCTTGTTAAAGTAGAGAGACAAGCTGAAAGCTTGTAGATTAATTCAATGATAAAAAACTACACATTTTCTCCGGAAACTAAAGCATAATCAAGCGGTGTTATGAAATACTAGTGATCTAATTAGAATGATAGTTCGATACCTTCAACAACATATATTGTTTGACCACAACTATAATGTTTTATATCCATGAGTAAGATAAACTGTTTTAAAACACCTTGAAGTGAAAAACAGAACTCGGAAAACCTATCCGAGTTTTTAGTTTATTCACAACTGTGACAAAACTTTACAAAAATTGTGAAATTTAGTCGAACAGTTTTGTTTAGACAAGTCCATAATCGGAAACAAATTTTGCCAACGCGAAAATCCGTTTTTATGATAATGATATTCTAACTGTTCGCCGCTTACGGTTTTCAAAAATGGGTAGATTACCGGAAATCAATATAAGAACTTACATTTCTTGAGTTATTAGCACCCTCGGATTCTACTCGAACTTCAGAAGTACGGCTTCCTAGGCGACCTGACATATCCGGTTCGGATCCTGAGTCATCTCCATAAAATGCTGAGCGTCTTTTTCGTTTGATCAACGTAGGCAAAGGTCTAAAACAAAGTTTAATTTTTATGTTAACCAGTAAAAACTGCAAACAATGTAATAATGCTAATGTATGCATCATTTACTAACTAGTATCACATAATTATAAAATTTTTTTACCAGAGAATTTACACATTTTAAGCAATGAGTGAATAGAACTGCCCTCTGAAAACGATTAGCTATTAGAAATAAAACTAAAATCCTCACCAATCATTCAGTAAGTTTTACAAATGACAAACGGTTTTATCCTTCATTTGATTGTTGATGGAAAACTGAATAAAATTGATTTTTTTCATTACCGTTTAGTCTCCCATTGGTACGAAGTTGGGCAATTATCGTATCCCGCAAGTGACAAAGACCAAGTGAATTTTCAGAGTCCGTGCTGAGATTTTGTCAGACACCAAAGTAACAGGGTTGATGAGGCTTCCAAGACAAGTGAAGCAGTTAACACAGTCAGATACTTCATTACTTACCAATAGTCCAAGCTGATGCAGACCACTTCTGAAGTTATATATTTAGATAGATAGAAACGCATTCAAACATGGTTGTATTGTTGCGTAAGGCGGTCAGATAACTATTTTATCACCATCTTCAACGAAAAGGGCTGTGACATCTGTTTATTATAAGTCAATAAGCGGATATCTTAGTAGGAAATCAACCTCTGAAAAGTCAGTCTATGAGTTAGTTCGAAAAGGATGTCTATGATGAAGTTAAATCACGGTAGAGAAAGTGAACAGCCATAATTGACACCACTTCAGAATTCTGTTGACAGTTTGGTTCAAACTAACTTGAACAATACTGTTCAAGTAGAGAGCCTTATTTATTTTAACACATAGGTATTGGTACAAGGAGGCACCAAATACATATGCGCCAGACGAATCTCAATTGATTTGTGTGAGGGCTGTAATACTGCCCGGGTGCCCAAACCGAAGCAGGAAGTAGAGAGCCTATAAAAGGTTGATGTACTTCTTTGGTGCGCCTTTTAATAACAAACAATGTCATACAACCTCTCGATCAACTAAACCGAACACAAACTTACGAAACATCACTAAAAGTGGAAACGAGAAGAAGAGTACTAGCAATCAAATGTGGTTATTTTCATTACCTATCTTTAGGCACAGATAATAGAGTAACAAATTAACGATAACAAGGAGACATTATGAATGAAATTCGACACACATGTAGTTAAATTTGGGGAAAAAAAATTATAACAAGACATGGTCTTTGCTATTTTGCGAAGCTGATTACGAGATACGTTAGAAATAAAACCAAATGCGTGAATTCACAAACGTACAGATAATACCTAGTACGAATTTATACTTGTTTCAAGTGGTTACACGTTATACCAGTAAAAGGCCTGCACAGTAACTTTACTTCCAATTAACATGATTAACACAAAATATTTAGGAAAAATCAGAATAATTTTATGTTTCGTACTGTATACAATAGTAAAATGAGTTTAGGAAGTGTACATTAAAATATGTTGCATATTGTGAGAATATCAGATGAATAAACGCACCTTCTTTTCTTTGGACGAGGTCGAGCTCGTACAACTTTAACTTGTTTCGTTATTGTTTCAGATAACTGTGTGGCATCATTAGGTGATGTTGCTTCTGAAGACTGTGAAATATTCAAAGAATCATTCGCTAACATAGATGTGGATTTAACTGACTTTCTGTACTTTCGCTTTTTCCGAACCTCAACAGGACGAATAGAAGCCCGACGCTTTCTGGATTCTAAAAGAGACTCGTCACCTCTGGCATCGATATTCTCATTAATACTTTCAATGGCAGAAGGATTTGAGACGAAGTTGCTATCACTTTCAACATCTGTTTTAGGTTTTTTTGGTGCACGACCACGCGGACGCTTTGTTAGTGGGGCTATAAAAACAGGTCTGTCAGGAGTGTTGTCAGATTGAGCTTCATTTGTCGGAGCCCCAACTTCCCGACTCTTTTTTGGTTTTCGTGGATGCTTATCTGTATCATTCTCGTGATTTCGAGGCTTACGTCCTCTAGTCTTTTTCACTGGTTGTGATTCAGTAGATGTAGTCTTCGGTAGAATAGAAGCGTAAGAGATATCATTGCAGCCTAGACTACTGCATTTATTCATTTCAATACATTGAGTTCCGGGTCCTACGATGGAATGTACAGGTGCTGGTGCTATAGGCTGTAGATGCTGTCCAATTAATTCGCCCGAAGTTCCCTGATTAATATTCACAGATTTTCAAGAGTTAGAATAAGGGAGTTAAATGGAATGCAACTATTTTACTCCAAAAAAATATGAACCTATTCATAGGAAATATAGACTAGCTATTTATCGTTAGAGTTATAAATCAGTGATTGATTAGAATCATGTTCAACAGGTATTAGGCGTCTCAAGGCTACAATGATTACGATCAATTACGTTCATTTTTATTGCAGAAGCTCAAAATCTCATATTAGTGTTTTATCAGTAACAAGAACGGACTTGTGTGTCTATTCATTAACTGCTTTTGCCAATCACATCAAGGATTTTAATTCTCTGAAGTTATTAATAAATAATATATAAAAGACATTGATCGACTTAAGAACAGTGAAAAGTAACTCAGTCAACCAAACGTAGAGTCTCACACATGAGTATATTAGTTCAAGTTGCCATATCCCATTAGTGATTTTGTCAGGGTAGGTTCCAGAGTAGTAGAAGTAGCGACTGTGATTTGGCAAACGTATATTCTTAAGTACTGTAAAATCATTTGAAGACATTCAGTCACATATCAACCAAAGAGAACTGTCTAAAATGTGTAATTTGAGATGACATCGAAGACTAATTATTCTAAAATCTCTAACCTTGATAGCAGCACATATAGCAGATACCAATTGCTAGCGTAACAACACCATGTTACATGTAGTGAGTAAGCTTTTCATTGCCAGACAGAACAGAACAAAATCCAGAAATGAAAAGTATGAATCATAAGAGCAAGATAAAGAGTAAGATTAACTGTATATGCATCTACAGCAAAACGATCAATTTTAGATCACATAACTTCGTCTACAATCTTGGATTGCACTTATAATGTAGAAATGAGCTACAAAGTTTTAAAAAACAGGAGTATGACTGCAACGAATGAATACATCTACAGTGAGGTCCTAAATTTTTATGGCTTTCTGTTCCCCATACCTAGTTAAATTAGCGATGTGAATAGTGGAGTCCAAATAATAATGGTATAAACAATGGTGAGAAAAACTAGATGTTAAGCGTACAATCTGGGAAGATAAAAATGTTTTATTTTTTATTTATTTGAACACATAAATATTGGTACAAGGGGGCACCAAATATATATGCGCCACGAAATGTACGAACAAATGATTAGTAAGACTCAAGATACGAGGAATCACATCTCTATTATGATTGGTTTTGAGGTATGCCACGTGAAATCCCCGACCACTTATTGTAATCACCTCACGGACAGCAAACAGGTTATCTGTCTACCAATACATCTCAGTTTAACAATTAACGATTTCATAAACCAGACGCGTTTTGATTCGGTCACACGTAACATTCAACCTACTCCTACACCAGTTGTCAACACTATTTGAGGTAGACAGTGGTTGCACATAAGTAGTATGTGTCTCAACCACATCATCCGATGAAGATTTAAAACCATACCAACTGATATAGCATCTTTGTCTAGCACTTAGCGTCCAACTCCGAAATATTGAAAAAGGTCTAATTATCATTGAGAAACTTGAAAAGCTAGATCCTAGAATGTTTTAAAATGCAGCTTCTTTGGTCTCTGAATGCACAAGTTTGTTTTGTGTAAAAGAAACGACTACGAAGCTAAGCCTTACTTAAAACAAGAAAAAGCGCATTTACCTGGTACTGTGGGTTCCAGTAGCTTCCAGAATTTATGTTTAGTCGACTTTCTTGTGTAAATGGGACGTACTGTCCATAATTCTGATATACCTGAGAATAGTTGCCAGAAGTGACAGATGAAACACTTCCACAGGAAGAGTCTGGCATATTTTTACACATAGGATTATAAGAAATATCAGAATTTTCAGCTTGGCGATAATGTATTGTAGATCCATGTATCGATTGCTGAACTGTATCTGAATTGAGTGTAAATGAACAGGAGTTAAGTGGTCCAACGAGATTACTTTGACTAGTGCATATATTCATTTTGCTGTAGTCCACTTCAATGTTTACAGAACTACAACTTAACGACTCAGGAATTCTTTTTGGATTCGATTTCACATCATTAATAACCTGCTGATTTCTAGAAACGACTAACGAACTTTGAAGAGTTAGATTATTCTGAGGTAATGTAGCGCTTGCAGGAGCAAGTGATTCCCGACTCTGCTGGTTAATAGAATTTTCCAAAAATCCATTAGATACACCAGCTGACTGGCAAAAACTTGATAAACATGAAGAGGTGATGCAAGGGTTTATGTTATTACTTGGGGATATGATGAGTGAGGGACTACACACATTACCTGACTGAGAACATACGGTCAGTAAGCTGGATCCAGAAGATATATTTCTGTCTACGAAGCAATTTGAAATAGTGCCTGACAGAGTAGTCTGACTATTTGAGGTGGATTGAACGGTTGGGTAACTGTTAACTGTATTGACAGGCAGATGGCCGCTCACAACCGAAGAAACCTCCTGTAAATGGGGTGTGACAACATATGGGTAGGAAGTATTCGCGACAGAAATACAGCTGGACGAAATGGATGTCGTTGTGCAATTGTTTGTACTAGTAATTTCCTGTGAAACTTTTAATGTATCATTCTGACAGCAAACTACTCGCGGGTTAGAAGTACTACAGTTAGTTCCAGTTGCTTTTAGATCTACAGAGTATCGATGGATTGCATAAGATGAAGATGAGGATGGATTAGGAGCCGATTGAGAAACAGAGAGAGGTACGTTCTGAAGTGTTTTATCACTACAGATCTGAGCAGAATAAAACGTTTGGACAGACTGCTTTTCAGATATTGGGGCAGACGATTCTAAAGTTCTCAACTGCCCCTGTAAAAAGTTGATTTCTTGTTGAATAGTTGGGGAAGTGGATGACAAACGATACAGTTGAGACAAACGATCACAAATCCGAGTAGATTCCTCCTTGTATAAACTGACCCTCTGAGATTTACAATCTAAAGTGTTGACATATGACCCAGTTGCATCATTCTGTAAACAATGAGGTTGAATACTCGACTGAGTCTGAATGGCTTGATGAAAACCTGAGTCTTTACTTCCATTTAGATGACTCGCCGCACAACTTGATGAGCTGGATGTAAGAGTTTGGTTTGTGGAAACACGGCAGGAAAATTGATTCCCAGTTTGAGGATGTACTTCAGAAGTTCGTGAATGGGGTCGTGAAAAACGTGCATCACCTGGTCGTAAACTGTAATTCGGTAAGGTGTAAGGCGAATTTTGGTCCCATGTGTACTCCGGACGGTCATATGGGGAACCACATCTTGGGGCAACTAATCGTTGTCGATTGTTACTGCAATCATATTGATGTTCGGGATTCGGAAAGCTTAAAGGGGCACTTGCATACAATTTGGGATCATAACGAATCTGTTGCTGTTGCGGAATATTAAATCTAGATTCGTAACCGTAATATCCTGGTGCTTGTTGCTGAAAATTAGTAGTGAAGTTTGGATTGCTCTGGACGTTTTGGTGGACTGTATATGAGCAAGATCCTGGGTCGTTTAGGTCTTCCAGGAAGCTAGTTGACTCAACACCGAATGATCTGTACTGATGTTCCATTCGAAAATAAGTTAGATTCACAAAATATGTCCTGTATGTCTGTTTTTAATGCGTATTATACCTTGAATCATTGCCTGATCAGTGGAAGTTAAGATAATAGTTGCCATTTTTCATTTCAATGACACCGCTTCCGAATGACCTAACGTAACCCTGAAAACGTTGAATAAAAGCAGTGAAATAGAACAACGAGGTTTATCAAATATTGGGTCCATAGGATCGTATAAACAAAATGTTATTTATTGTTTTTCGATGATAAGGTAGACACACGCTTGTCAGATTGATGAAGTAGGCATTATTCAAGGGTAATTCAAGACAATCACTCCTACCGTTTTAGTGCATTTATAACTTATGAAAACCAGTTAGTAGTGCAATTAATTATGAGGTTCATACTCACTCCATCAATTTCGTACAGGCTAAATTGTAATCGTTTGCACATTCCTGAGGTTATTCATATGATATTAAGAGAGCAATACGTCCCTCTTCATATTGTCACATTATTCATCTTCTTGGTGACTTTTGAATGAAGTTAGTCTACAAAACTTTTTCATACAGAGAGGTCTATCGTCTGAGGACTCAATCAGCATATCCAGCTGTATTCATAACAATCAGGTTTGCGACTTTCACTATTCGTCTAACTAAACCATTCCCAACTGAATACAAATACAGTGTGTCCTCCGTGGAAGGAAACATACTCATATGAATTTCCAGAACTTATGAGAGGGTTAGGTCACTTTTTGTGTAATAAAGATTATGGATGTGAAGACTAAGCATTGATGCATTTTTGAGAAATTCGTGTTGACGACTCCATTTCGAATAATTCTCTGGTACGTGGAGAAAGTTCCCCAAAACGTTTTCAACATTATTGTAAAATAGTAACTGCATTATTTAATCGGGAAATTTAGTGTTCACAGTCTGTCGCCATGAAACAATGCGAAGGCATTCGCTAAGGACTTTCCTTATACATTTCACAATACAGCTAATCATGGTAACTGTAGGGTCTGACTCTCAGAATGTCGACAAGTCGTTTATGGAGATGTGGTGATCTGCTTTTATCAACAGAACGCAATTGGTGTAATGGAAACGATTACTATTATTACCAATTGTACCAGTGATTGTTTTACTGTACTTGTTTGTTTAACTGTACCAAATACATTCTTCCTTCCATTGATTGTGACCTTGCACGCGCTTACGTTTGCCCAGTGATTCTGCTTGTGCTCCTTTGGCACAATCTTGGTATTCTTTTGATATCACAAGATCACCAACAAATATATTTCGTTACAACCTTCAACAGCCTTCTGGTATCTGGCACTCAACATTCTTGTAGTGGTGACCATAGTCAAACGAGACTCGACAAAACACTACGATTGGTGACCCCAAAAGTGCGAACAGCTTTCAATCGAGGCCAAAACTTCCAAAGAAGCCAACTGCGGTGGGTCTATTACTTATCTGTCCACATCTGTTGCACATTATTAAATCGATATTTTGCAATATCTAGTATTCTGGCAACAACTTGAAATGACGGATTACGATAAGAATAGTGTTAATATAATAGACTCTGACGTAAAGTTCATCAATTTTCGACCTGTATCTTTTATCTCTATGATCCGGAAATCTGGTTCGCTGCATTGGAGTCTCCGTTTGAGACCCACCGCACTAGGAGCCAACGGCAAAAATATGCCTACGCTCTGGAATCTTTACCAGGAAATCTTGGGCGTTTTTCATTCGCGTGACGATAAATTCCACGCTTTATTCGAGAAATTCCCCAGAATAACTAAACCACTCGGGGAGATTTCATCGGTGACCAATCGTGTGGTACACCACATATTCACCCGCGGACTACCAGTCACGGCAAGACCACGCCGACTGGCACCGAACAAACTAGCTCTCGCTAAACGTGAGTTTGAAATTTCCTATCTACTGGTATTATCCGTCCCTGGGCCTCACCTCTTCACATGGTGCGCAAAAAGGATGGGGTTAGTTGGAGACCATGCGGCGACTACCGAGCATTAAACTTAGTTACACGCTTTGATAGCTACCCCATACCCCACATACACGACATCACGGCATCGCTTAAGGGCAAGACTATCTTTTCTAAGATCGATCTGGTACGAGCATATCACCAGATCCCAGTCGCTCTTGAAGATATCGAGAAAACTGCTATCGCGACTCCTTTCGGTCTGTTTGAGTTCCTACGAATGCCATTTGGATTACGGAATGTTGCTCAAACTTTCCAAAGGTTTGTTGATAGCATAGTACGAGACTTGGATTTTGTTCACGTCTATATTGATGACCTGCTGATCGCATCATCAAACGTAGATGAACATTATCAACATCTTACGCTATTATTCCAACGTCTTTCGGATAATGGGATAGTATTCAACCCGGACAAGTGTGAATTGGGCAAATCAGAAATAATGTTCTCAGGTCACGTCATTAAGCAAGTGAGTATTTTACCTTGGCAGGACAAACTACGTGCTATAAGGGAGTGTAACGTATTGATCACAATCAAGGAACTGAAGGCATTTCTCGGTTTAGTTAACTTCTACCGACATTTCATCCCTCACGCGGCAGAACGGTTACGACCATTAACCGATTTACTACGCGGTAATCCACGCAAATTAGAATTGAACGATACCGCACGTACTGCATTTTCAGAGATCAAAACAGCTCTCGCTCAAGTTACACTTCTCGCTCATCCTGACCCATCAGCCACGCTTAGTATAGCGGTTGATGCATCGGATTTTGCTATAGGAGCCGTTATGCAACAGAATATCTCCGGTAGTTGGCAACCGCTTGAATTTTTATCACGACGCCTTACTCCCACGGAGACGAGATATAGCGCTTTTGGTCGCGAGCTGCTAGCAGCCTACTGTGCCATCAAACATTTCCGGCACGCAGTAGAAGGACGCCAATTCATTCTATTCACCGACCATAAGCCCTTAACGTATGCCCTGCATCCCAAGTCTGACCGCTACTCACCACGAGAGTGCAGACATTTGGACTATATCTCACAGTTCACGACAGACCTTCGTCACATTAAAGGCGAGTCGAACTATGTTGCTGATGCCCTATCACGTATCCAGACGAATGCAGTTACCTTACCGGTGCTCGATCTTCCTGCTATGACCGCCGCGCAAGCAAACGATCCTGTCTGTACAGAAGCACCACAATCTTCATCCCTTCAGTGCCAGGAAGTACCCCTATCTACTAGCTCAGGTACTATCCTATGTGATATTTCTACTGGACTTCCTCGACCCATCGCACCCTCTGCTTATCGACGTCTCGTCTTCGATGCCCTTCATGGATTGTCTCATCCAGGTATCGCAGACACATTACGCCTCATCGCTGCACGATACGTCTGGCCGTCCATGAATAAAGATGTTCGTATGTGGGTAAAGCAACGCTTACAGTTTCAACGATCAAAAGTGCACAGGCATGTAGCTGCCCCCGTTGGCACGTTCGCTACGCCTGATGCTCGCTTTGATCACGTTCATACAGACATTGTAGGACCATTGTCACCATCGCATGGGTATGATCACATACTCACGTGGATTTACCGTTTTACAAGATGGCCCGAAGCTATTCCCATCACGTCTATTATGGCGGAGACAGTTGCTCACCGCTTCGTAGAACGATGGATAGCACTGTATGGTTGTCCCTCGACCCTCACGACTGACCGAGGACAACAATTCGAGTCCGCATTATTCTCCTCACTTACTCGGCTGCGTGGTACGGAACGCATACGCACTACCGCCTACCACACGACATCAAATGGTTTAGTTGAACGGTCTCATAGCCAACCTAAAAGTGCTCTTCGAGCACACGAAAACGACAATTGGTACGAAACCTTACCGCTCGTTCTCTTAGGTATCAGAACGAGTTTGAAGGCAGATATTCAATGTTCCGCCGCTGGACTTGTATACGGCACGACATTGCGTCTGCCTGGGGAATTCTTCACACCACGGAGCAGTAATGATTTCGGTAAATCAGACTACGTCCATCGACTGTCTGCATTTATGCGAACGCTGTCTCCGGTGTCAACTCGAATACAACATCGACAGGTCGCTCTCCCTCGAGAGTTATCTACCTGTTCACAGCCCTACGAAGGACCTTTTCACTTGATTTTTCGTCACGAAAAGATCAGCACACGTCGATGACAGTGCACTACACAATAAGTTGAAACTCAATGTTAGACCCATCAAACCTACTAGCGGGATCCCTACGTCTACTTCGGATCCCACCCTGGATACATAAAAAACCTCATTCTCACGTCCCGGTCAACAGCACGCGTCATCTGCACCATCTACGGACGAAACTTCCATCTCACGTCCAGATCAGCAGGCCACACCACCCCTGAACTCAGATGAGATTGCAGGCTCACGAAATACGAACGAGACCTCCGTCTCACGTGCGAGTACGCCTACCCGTATGCTTTCGCGACCAACCGCACAATCAACAACGGATACGGTGTAGGACTATGCCTATACTATATTCATACCACATATTTTCTCTTTTTTTATTTTTTATCCTGAGCCCACGCCCCCGACTATCGCCTGTTTGGTAACGTCGACTTCAGTCAATCTTGGCGAAAGATGGCCTGATCACCCATGTTCTTGTCAAGGCACTCGGTCGATATTCTGGTTTCGAATTCGTCTGTTCTCACAATTGGTTGTTATGGTCGCTTCTGGTTCATTGGCTCAATGTGGCTCCGTCCTACGTCTGCAGCGCTTTCTGGCTCGCACCCTCAATGACGCAATCCGCAGACCCTGAATACAAACTACTCTGGTGTGGTACGCTAACTTGAGCAACAAATACAGCACACTCCTAGTGGTACCGTCCTACGTAAAAGAACTCCGGTTACAACTCGAGGTTCAACGATAACTTCCTGTTCTACCAACCCTTTCGCCCTACAATCGCACGTTTACCGATCAGTTCCACGAATGAAACCGCTACGTATCAAAAGTGTAAACCCTTTCTAGCGGGCGGCTCCTGTAGTGATCTACTATTATCAACAGAACGCAATTGGTGTAATGGAAACAATTACTATTATTACCAATTGTACCAGTGATTGTTTTACTGTACTTGTTTGTTTAACTGTACCAAATACATTCTTCCTTCCATTGATTGTGACCTTGCACGCGCTTACGTTTGCCCAGTGATTCTGCTTGTGCTCCTTTGGCACAATCTTGGTATTCTTTTGATATCACAAGATCACCAACAAATATATTTCGTTACAACCTTCAACAGCCTTCTGGTATCTGGCACTCAACATTCTTGTAGTGGTGACCATAGTCAAACGTGACTCTGTAGTGGCATCGAGCCGTAACACGAGACAAACTGGAAAATAGACATTCAACATTAAACGCTGGGAAATACCGAACAATGAAGAAAGGCGGGAACAGTGAATTGAATTAATACGAGTTAATCTTATGGCATGGCTCAACCATGCAGGCGTGGTCCCTCCTGCTAAATGTTACGTTATGTCTTTTATTCATATTAAATATATTGTTCCATCTCTAGCCTAAGATTGTTCTCTATCACGTATTGGTAATTGTTACAATGCAATGAATTGGTGTAGGCGATGATGTAACTTCCACGTAAGATCTTATAGATTAGGCAATTACATCATGATAAATCAACAATTTTAGGATTAGGTCTATTATTAGAGCAGTGCTAATATCATAGTAGACCATTATTCTACAACTCAACGCCAAACTACAGAGCACCGAAGAGAAGAAAGAAAATATTTCATACTATTTGATCCCTTTATAAATTTAAATAAAGCAAGAAGGAACACTGATGCAGAATAATATTAATTCAATATATTTCATGGTTTCTCGTCAGCTGCTTGCAATCAAATATGCATATATATGTACAATAACAGGTTAGCAGTTATTAGGTGTTAGGATCAAGATGGTGAAGTTCAGAGACAGATAAGGTAAATTGTGTGATAATTTTAGAGGTAATGAAGGATTTATGGAATTCAAAACTGATAAGACGAGTTACGTAATACGTGATGTATGATAGAGTGGAAAACAAACTTGCTTCTTACACTTGCAGTGGCATTATGCCCTAACTACACAATCCTCAAAGCTGAACACGAGACAATTAGGGAAATAGGTATTCAACATCTAACGCGGAGAAAAACCTAACAATGACGAAGGCGGGAGCAATGATTTGAACTAATTCGAGTTGATCGGATATTTCAGTGGTAATGCCTTTGATTACGACACCAGAAAATGATGAGAGTTCAGATCCTCTAACAACATTAGTTATCTTGTGATTGCAAATAATTCTTCCTAATGAAACATAGGGCTTCCTACCGATTACATTCAGTCATCAACCGATATCTAGACCGCTCATTGATTAATTGTTTATTTGCATGATTACTTTGTTTTTTTCAATAGTTGGTTTTATTCTAATGACCTACTTCTTTGGTCACACTTCCCTAATCTCTTGATTTCCGTCAACCAAACAAAAGTGTAAATAGAATCAAGCGACTTATTAATGAGATGGAATAGATTACAGTTTCGAGAAAATCGCTCCGACAATTCATTTTGTATTCTCATTAGAAATAATTTTTAAAATATCACTTGCTGACTAAAATGAAAATGAACAATAATTATAAGTATCCTCAATTCTTTTAAAGATGCATTCTTACAATTAAAAATCGTGTAAATTTGATGATGAAAATGTATACAGTTTTTTTTCTTGGATATTTCTAAGAGATGCCGTTTTAACAATAATCTAAAACACTCGTCTTGATTCTTGTTAAAAATTTTGAATCTGTTCTCATGACCACCAATTTTAATCATATTTGTTTTTTGTATGTTTATGCTTCAGGTTACTTCCAAGGAATGAATGATTTACTCGCATTAATACTTTATGTTATTAAAGATGAAGAAGATTCTTTTTGGTGTTTTGTTGGTTTAATGAATAGACTAGTAAGTTTTTCATATATATATATATACATATAAAGGCGTTTAAAACCATTTCACCCTCATCAAAATTTATAACTGAAAAATGTGTGTTATATTACGCACTCGTTCTTTACATAATTTGAGCTTAAGTTAACATATAAATGATCCAGAATTATAAACGTACATCAATGTTTATATATCCGTTCAACTTTGTTGTATGTTAAGCCTGGTGATTCGTTAAGAAGCATTAGGAAAGCGCGAATTTTTTTAATGCTAAGATTTTCAAAAATTTGAAACAATTAGTTTTTTTGATAGGTTTGGATAATACGATGAGAAGACGCAGGTTATCAGAATTATGTGATATATTTGCCCAATGTATTTCGAACAGTCTGACTACACATTTAATTGTTAAAATACTATGTATGAACAATGAAAGGTCAATTAGACAAATTAAAAGGTAAAGGAAGCAAAGATAATAATAAAGTACACAAAAACAGTGTGAAAAACGACGCTGGATAATATATGAGTGATATAGGTTAAGAGTAAGAACAAATTGTTTTTGAACACATATAGAGGATTTCAATCTACTTCAACTTTTATTTTTCGTATATATTGTCTTGACAGGTATAGCTGTGATCGGGTTGTTCAAAATGCACTACGCAAATACATCACATAATCCTGATAACCTTCGTCTTCTCATCGCATTATCCAAAAGCTTAGATTTTTATCTAACTAATGCAAAAACAAACGATCAGTTCAAATATTTATTTATTCCCGCCACAACTGACTCTGATACATCGAAAAGCATGAATATTTACAGACTTTTTGAGTGTCTTCGAGAATCAACCATTCAGTATGTAAGATTCATAATGTCTAAATTAATTTTGCAGCTGGAAATAAAAAATTTCGAAATGCTGACTTGCGAAAAATCTAGTTTTTGGCCGATTCGAATAGAGATTTCGAGTGTGCTACAAAATAGACGAAATAAAGAAAATCACTGAAAACAGAAGAGTGTGACGTAATGTAAATTAAGTGTTGGTAGTAGCCTTGTGTATACACTAGCAATAGGCATCTTCTACTAAGCCTTATGGCCCTGGTACAGCCGAGAATTGAGAGAGTCAGCTCTTCCTCTATAAATGCTCTCACACGGCTACGTGCATACAACCACTGTCAGGGAAGTCCTATCCACTGCCTTCTCGCGGTGGGGCTGTTGTTTACGAAATTGAGGACGATCCACATAGAGAAGTTGGAAAACCCTGATTCCAAACTAATGGTGCGCATGGGCTCTAGAACCCTAAGGAAACAAATGGCGTATGAACAAATTGTTGGTGACCGGTTACCAAGGGACTGTATCTCCTGACGTTGCTCCACTGTATTGTGGGTAAGACCTTTAGGTCGGAGTCTCCGGGCGTGGCCCCTTAAAAAATCAACTACTTCGGTCTCAGCCCCTCACGCAAATCTAATGATTTATGTGGCGCATATGTATTTGGTGCCTCCTTGTACCAATGTTTATGTGTTTAAATAATAATAGTAATAATAAGAGTTTCTTGATTTTTGCACATATTACAATATCAAACAAATAAACCAAAAAATAATGAACATTTCATATTTCCACATTTTTTGTTCATTTATTTATCGATTGTTTTTTCTTGTAATTTTACTTCGCCTCTACCCTTGTCATATTAGCTTAATTTGTAGAAGAAATTTACCTTTGTTTGGCTCATTTGTATGTTAATAATAATGATGATAATAATAACAATAATGTTATTCAGTGCTATAAACGTTGTTCAGTCAGTGACAACGTAGAACTTCGAGTTTCCATACCACATTAGCACAGAGATACAATTGTCGATTCAAATCTCTTAATTGACGAGGTAGTAAGAGTATAAGCAGTAATCGGAAATACTAGGGCTTGAAGATGTTATTCAAGGAGTATAATCCAGTGAAATAAATTTGAAAAGATAAAAAAGGTACATGAAGAATTAAAAAGATTAGAATTTAGGAGAACACAAACAGTGGATGCAACTGCGCCATAAACGTTGTTACAGTAAGAAGTGCTCCGAATCAGTTATAGAGTATAGCAACATACTTCTGTTTAATATATGATCAAACTATAATTATTTGATAAAAAAATCTTATAAATATTTTTAATAGTTATAACTAGCTATCTATCTTCAAGCAAGAGAGAGTTTTCTATTAGATGATAGTCTAATATTTGTTCTTGAACATTTTATTCATTTATTATTATTAATATGTTGAGTGTTTACTTATCAAATATGTGATGATAAAATTACGATATATATATTCTATTAGAAAATTATGTTTCTTTATTATAGGAATCTAATTTCAATGGTGAACTCAATGCAGTCAGAGAACAATTTAATCAATTATTTTCACTGATTGAAATATTTGATCCAACTTTTAGTGAATATCTTGGTAATTTTTATTAAATAAATGATAAATTTATTAACATCAGGATAAAATATTCCAGGAAATATAAGTTATAAATAGAATAATATATACAATCAAAAATTTAAAAAAACAATCTGTATCTATCTTTAGTTTGTAATTATCTACTGACTGTATACCCTCACATACCTATCGCATTTTTGATAGGTATATGTAACTCTATCAGTAATTCGTAAACCTCCCTGAAATATCCATAGAATAATGTTTTGTATGATTTTCTTCTCTTACTAGACTTTATAACAACAACTGGGTGATTTTTTTGTTCTATTATCTAAGAATATCGAACATCCTAGACAGTCAGTCAGTCATACATAACGTGAAAGCTGGCATGCATGTACATTGGTTCAAGTTGCCACACTCTAATAACGCAACTGCAATCTAGAGCAGTAACAGTATTGGCGGTAATTGAAGAGATTAAGCATAGAAAATACGGTTCGTGAAAATGCGAATTCGTGGAATAGTAAAATTTAAAATAAAGAAAAACTTAGTATCTGAGGAAAAACACACAATAAATATAACTGCACCATTCAGATCACTTCTATGGCATACCATCTAATGTTTTTAACCACTAAATAAGATTATCGTGCTGACTTTGACCAGGTTATCTGCATCTACCATAACACCTCACTTTAACAGCCAATGGCTTCATGGACATATGTCACTTTTCAGTTTGGCCGCCTCTACCATTTTCCCAACCTACTCCCATAATAGCTATTATCACTAGTGTACGTAATCAGTGATTAAGTATACATAATACTTCTCCCAACTACCTCAGTCGATAAAAACCTCATCAAATGATATAGCATATTTACCCAGTATCCTACTCCTAATCTCCGCATTCCTCAGTTTTTGGTTTCAATAAACACTAGCAATACCTCAAAGACACATATATCCTAAACATTAGTCATTCCGATTTCCTTAACTATAAGTATTCTCTATGAACTGTTTTCTCTCTTTCTTCCTAAATGTTAAGTCTACGGAATCGACCACATCTGTTAATTTTCAGTTTGGGTGTCTACTAACTTACACCTGTCACCGCTCGTCGGGGAAAATAGGCCACCCACCAAAATTCTCCATCGAACTCTGTTCTGGACAATCCTTTCCAGTTGTCATTCATCCTTTTCATGTTTGCTTCCGATTCCCGACACAGTGTGTTCTTCGGCTTTCTTCTTTTCCATTTCCCTTCAGGATCCCAAGTTAACGCTTGTCTCGTGATGCAGTTTGGTGATTTCCGTGATGTTTGTCCTATCCACTCCCAAAGTCTTTTCCTCTTCAGTTGGAAGTTGGTTTGTTCTCTCTCTCTCAGTAGTCTGTTGCTGATGGTATCCGACCGACGGACATTAAGTATCTTATGTAGACCTTTGTTTATAAATTCTTATACCTTTTTGATGATGGTTGTGGTAGTTCTCCAGGTTTCAGCCCCATACAGTAGAACTGTCTTGACGTTTGTTTTGAAGATTCTGACTTTGATGTTGGTTGACAGTTGTTTTTTTGAGTTCCATACGTTCCTCAGATTTAGGAATGCCGGTCTTACTTTGCCAATCCTTGTCTACGACTTCATCGGATCCTCCTTGTTCATCGATGATGCTGCTCAGGTATGTGAGAGTTTCCACCTCCTTCAGAGTTCCTCCATCAAGTGTGATTGAATTAGTGTTCTCCGTGATGTATCTGGGGATGTCGCTATTTCCATTGTGTTTGTTGAGGCCTACTGATGCAGAGACTGCTGCTACATTAGTTGTCTTCCACTGCGTTTGTTCGTGTATATGGGGTAGAACAATTAGGTCACCTGCGAAGTCCAAATCATCTAGTTGACCACCAGAAAGAAGAGAAAGGGGGAGAGTAAGCAGCCTTGTCTGACTTCGATCCTAACTTGGAATGCATCTGTCAGCTGTCCTCTATGTAAGACTCTTCACTGTAATCCGTCGTATGAATTCCGGATGATTCTGACGATTTTCTCGAGTACTCCATAGTGTCATAGAAGTTTCCATAAAATTCTCCTATCCATACTATCAAATGCTTTCTCATAATCAAGGAAGTTGATGTATAGTGTCGATTTCCACCTAACTGATTGTTCAACAATTATCCTTAGCGCCTTGATTTGGTCTGTGCTTGACCGATCCTACGGGATCCAAGCTGTTGATATCGAAGTTGGGCGTCTACTGAGTCTTTCATCCGGTTCAGCAACACTGTGTTGAAAACCTTCCTTGGTATTGACAGTCCTCACACTTGCTCAGATCTCTTTTCTTTGGTATCTTGATGAAGTGCCGTTCTTTTCAGTCTGTAGTTGGCACTTTTTCTTCCCCCCAAATATTCCTTAATGAAATGTGGAGCATGTTTGCAGTTGCTTCTACGTCTGACTTCAATGCTTTTGTTTGTATATTGTCAGGTCGTACTGCTTTCTCTCTCTCTTGATTTACGTGATGGTCATCCTGATTTCTTCGATACTTGGTGGTGTGATACCTGTTCAAAGGTCTGTGCGCTCTAATTGATGTTCGGTTGATTCAGTGGAGCTGGTCTTTTCAAGAGTTCCTCATAGTGTTAGTTTGAGATTGTGTTTTTAAAAATGTTTAGTTTTCTTTCTTGTGAATCTCCAAGAAATCTAACGCACAGTTGATAGTTTAACGCGCTATTACCTTTATTGTTCTGCAAACGTGAGTTTATTCACTATATCTAAATGTTTGTGTTTATTGTAAATCTATTTAGCTGTTAGCATAACATACGTATAATTATCTTCGTTAATGTAAACCCGTAACCACATTTAATCGAAGTGAATTTCAATACTTGATTTCACCAATATAAGCAAGCCTTCGAAGATCAATTTTTTGCTTGTAGTAAAACGTAGGAGAACAATAATTCTTGATCTTATTGTCAGTACGTGTCTAGAAATCGTTGTGATTACACATTGTAGCGCTAGTTAGCAGTTTGCTACTGACTTTAATGTATTATAGCTGGCATTCCATGAATCAATAACTTATCAAAGTTAACACAATTTTATAAGCACATGTAATCCGCTTCTAGTTGTTAAATTAAATCTCGTTCTAAGTAATTCTGAATTTTCGTCTAGTAGATAGAAAACTTACGTTGAAGATGTTCGGAAGGATACTATCATCTAATATCACATAAAATTTTGTATTGTTTGTATACATTGATTTTGTTCATTTATTTAAACTGGTAATCCAATTTCCATCTTATGAATTTTATTTTACTAAAAATTCTACAATAAATGTTTACAGAATCGAAAAGTGCCAAAGAAATGCCGTTTTGCTTCCGCTGGTTGTTAATTCATTTCAAACGAGAATTCTCATACAAAGATACTATGACTTTATGGGAGGTATGTTAAATTAATCATGTTAATAATTGTTTTAATTTTTTTAATTCAATAGTTTCTTCAAATACATGTATAGGTTGTTCGCTTCTTTTTTGTTAATTTTCTAAACTGGTTATTTTTCTTGCAATTACCTAAATTATACACTAATAATTTTGAAAACGTTTCGCTATTTCTGTAACTCTTCATTTGTTATTGATGATTATATTATTTATTAAAAGCTGTTTATTTACCTCACTCAGTGTTCTGAAATCTATTTTAATTGGTATATAACCACCTACAATTTGGTTAGCGTTTTTTTAGCAAGGTTTTTTTCTACGGGGTTGGGTTGCCGACCCCATGGCCAACCCTCCTTTACCCGAGCTTGGGACTGGCAGTAGCCGTAGATGAGCTACAGGTGGGATATACCACCTACAATCACTTATTAGTTATTTGTTATTTCTCTTTATATCCTCACATGTTTGTAATTTTATTAAGCTCTTTTCATTTAATATGACATGCTAAATGTCGTAGGTTTTTAAGAAAATTTTGCGTTAGCTTGTGTTGCCCATACTTTATAGTAACACAGATAGAGGAAATCAACTGAAACATCTAAAAATGTAAACCTATCAATGGCTGTGGAGAACCGAAAAAAATGGAACCAATAAAATATGAAAGACCTTGATGATATTTTTGACATAACGGAAAATACAAGCAAGTGGATGTCTCGTGTGACCAAGTTGTAATAACAACCGAGCAGCTGTATCCTCTCTCTCTTCCTCTATTTCGACGAAATTGAGGACGATCCACATAGAGAAGTTGGAAAACCCTGATTCCAAACTAATGGTGCGCATGGGCTCTAGAACCCTAAGGAAACAAATGGCGTATGAACAAATTGTTGGTGACCGGTTACCAAGGGACTGTATCTCCTGACGTTGCTCCACTGTATTGTGGGTAAGACCTTTAGGTCGGAGTCTCCGGGCGTGGCCCCTTAAAAAATCAACTACTTCGGTCTCAGCCCCTCACGCAAATCTAATGATTTATGTGGCGCATATGTATTTGGTGCCTCCTTGTACCAATGTTTATGTGTTTAAATAATAATAGTAATAATAAGAGTTTCTTGATTTTTGCACATATTACAATATCAAACAAATAAACCAAAAAATAATGAACATTTCATATTTCCACATTTTTTGTTCATTTATTTATCGATTGTTTTTTCTTGTAATTTTACTTCGCCTCTACCCTTGTCATATTAGCTTAATTTGTAGAAGAAATTTACCTTTGTTTGGCTCATTTGTATGTTAATAATAATGATGATAATAATAACAATAATGTTATTCAGTGCTATAAACGTTGTTCAGTCAGTGACAACGTAGAACTTCGAGTTTCCATACCACATTAGCACAGAGATACAATTGTCGATTCAAATCTCTTAATTGACGAGGTAGTAAGAGTATAAGCAGTAATCGGAAATACTAGGGCTTGAAGATGTTATTCAAGGAGTATAATCCAGTGAAATAAATTTGAAAAGATAAAAAAGGTACATGAAGAATTAAAAAGATTAGAATTTAGGAGAACACAAACAGTGGATGCAACTGCGCCATAAACGTTGTTACAGTAAGAAGTGCTCCGAATCAGTTATAGAGTATAGCAACATACTTCTGTTTAATATATGATCAAACTATAATTATTTGATAAAAAAATCTTATAAATATTTTTAATAGTTATAACTAGCTATCTATCTTCAAGCAAGAGAGAGTTTTCTATTAGATGATAGTCTAATATTTGTTCTTGAACATTTTATTCATTTATTATTATTAATATGTTGAGTGTTTACTTATCAAATATGTGATGATAAAATTACGACAAATATATATATTTCTATTTCTTTCTGGAGCCCCTCTCAATCTGTGTAGTCTGCTTTTTGTCGGTGAATATTGTAGTCCAGCACCTCGTGTCATACTTGGATCATTATTTATTTGTCCGTTTGAAATTGTTCTTCTCACTAGTTTTAATCTCTCCTAGACCTTGTAGGAATTTGCGTACGTTGCAGGTAGCCATCTCGCTGCCATATTGAATATCCACATATCATCTGACGACATTCATAAGTGAGGAAACCAACTACATTCATCTAGTCATTTTTCTCGAATACCATAGAATGAACAGGGAGGGCAACCCTCTTAATATCATCCGTCGAAGATCAGTAACAGGAACGATAATGTAGCATGCCGAACTATCTGCTTCTAGTTCGGATTCCGAGATTATCTAAATCTGGAGCTTCTGTTGTTACAGTTAGTTGCTCTCGTTATTAAATATGGGCTTGCTGGACCAATATCTTACCTTCACTTTTGTCCAATCTCTTTTCTAGCCCTTCGCATACTCGGCTAGTACGCATTACTACTCGTCGACTAGACGTGAAAGGCTATTAACATGTCTTCCTTTTTACTAGTCCAGAGATGAGAACAGATATGGATTGCCCTCTCCTAACAAAAGCGCTAGAACAAACTCATACATTGAGAAAGACTGTCGTGCTTATTAACCATACTCACAGTATAACAATTTATAGTCTCCATCTCTTCATTCGCATGTTTTACCCCTTGTCTTTTCTATCTGTTCGTCTATTTTCCTTAAAAAGTAATTTAAACTTCACAATTTCTAAAATAAGCAGTCAAATGTCACTACAGCTGATTATCCCAGATGCTATAGAACAAGTGCACCTAATGACATCCAAAGAATCTTAGTCCTCAGTGAAAAGTTAAACTCATCAGTACTATAAGTAGAGGTATAATTAGGATAATCTTACTGAACGCAAACAAACAATGAAATCAAGACACGACCATTGCAACCAGCAGCTTTATACTGAAGGCAACCAGCCAGCGTTAAACTCCTGTCGACTACATGAGATTGGAGAGAGATTATTATGTATAACGAAGCCTAAGTAGTCTTTGACAAAGTGAAACT